ATTGGCTGAGACTGATTGTTGCTTCATTTATTTCATTTACTCTAGTCAATCTTGTGAAACAGGGAGTATCCTCATGCACGAGATGAGTAAACTGAGGTCCAGCTAGCTCATACAACTAGGAAATGAGAGAAAGGAAATTTGAGACGTTTTGACTCATTCCAAAGCACAGGCTGTTTTTCCGAGGACATCAGTGCTGCCTCTAAAATTTAAGCATAGAATTAGGAATTGTTACAACTAGAAGGTGATTATGGCATTTGCACAGCTCCTTCAGATAAAGGGGTCCAGGCTCAGATACCAGTGGGGACAAGCTCTGTTGTCACAGAGTGCCAAAGAAAGGTCTGACACTCAGATATCCCAACTTCCAAGTGCTCTTTCCTCAAAAAAAAAGTAATGATAATAATAACATTTTTTCTTAAATATTATGTATATCTGCTTTAGAATCAAATAGTACTGAAAGTTTTATAACCAAAACATCAGCCCTCCCCACTCCTTATTTTTGTTGAAGTAATATTTCATCTCCTAATGTTTTTGTTGAAATCTCTCATCCCTTCTTTTCTTCCCTCCCATGCCTTTTGTCCTCTCTTAACCTTGTGAGTTAATATCTTCTTCAATTCCTTCATTATCGTTGTACTGGGTGGTCGGGGGAGGGAGAAGAGAGAAAACACATTTGGTCAATCAGTCTCATTGAAAAGAAGTCCAGTTTCTTACTACACTGTCCCCAGAAGATTCTGTATCCCCAGACAAGTCATTCTTCTGAAGTCCACACATTGGCCGGTGCTCATGTAGTTTACCCTGAGCCTAGCCCTGTGCTAGGAGCTCCCGGCTTACAAGTGTTCCTGTCTGGCCTGTGCCTTGCTGCCCTCAGGGACTTGACTGAGGGCTGGAGAGAATGATCTACATGAGGAAACAAAGAGCAGACAGCCGCAGTGATGATCCCTCCTGCCCACAAACCACTTGACCAATTTCAGAGAGCTTTCTCATCCACGATCTCACTTCACAGCAGCCTATGATCACCAAGGTTGTTTGGTGCTGCCCATGAAGTCAAAATCAGGACTCTGCTCTGTCCCAACAGGGCAGCACATTTGAACTCAGAACTGCGAACCCTCACATTCATGGTAGTTGTACTTTCTTATTTGGTTCTTTTGTCGGCAGGGCCAATGGAAGCTTCCTTTGCCGGGTGAGATGGAAGTGGACTCTCAGATTGGCGCTGAAAAGGAAGAAGAATGGAGGGGGGGGTCCCAGGGGGGCCACTTACTTCCCAGTGCTTTTCTGGGCCTTTTTCCTCCTCCTCCTCCTCCCAAGTTTCGAATAAAGACAGCTGCTTCTTTGAGAACGCTTACCAGTGCTCAGCTTGGTTCAAGGATAAAAAGAGAGTCAGAAATGAATAATTCTGAATACTTTACTGTGGAATTCTCCTAATGTCCCAAACTGAAGTCTGTTTCGTTGCCTGGGTTGGAAAGTAAGATTCATTATGAATTTATTTCTCCCGCAACTTCTGCTGCAGAAATCTCCATGATTCTAGGATTTGGATGCATTCTAGGATGCAGTCTATGCAGGGTAAAGGGACAGAGGAAGGGACAACAAGCAATGCATGTTACAATTTAGGCTATAGTTTAGGCCATGTGTTAGACTCATCTGTAGCTCCAGTACCTTGAAATACTTGGATGGACCCAGAGATAAATCAGAGTGGAGAAAGGATTTGGAGTAACTAGATGGCTCCAAAATGCCTCCCAGAAGGCTGATTGGAGTCTGAGTTCCTCTCAGACAGCACAGAATTGGATTGTTTAACTTGATGTCCCCACCCCGTCTTCAGCAGCCCCACCAACATGCAGCCCAGTCTCGGAGATTATCATCACTGACTCCAAGCACACTAAGCTCTCCACTGTACCGAGCCATTGGGAGAATTCCCAGTTGTCCTGCCCTCTGCTCTGCCAAGAAGAGAGTGGAGTTTGGGTCACACGGCTTTATTGTCACATGTCTGATATTCAGAGGCAAAAGCCTCTGGGTGGTGGAAAAGACCCCTCCTCACCAGGTCAGAGCTGCCTGGGAGCAGGAGAGGGAATTCCCTGATGCCCTGTCGTCGTGAATCAGGGCCCCTGTGCTGAAACATACATCCCACTGCCTGAAACTCAGACTCACAAGTGAGTCAGCAATGCCCCACCTGAGCAGGGATGGAAGGCAAAACAATGGGAACAGCACAGGCCCAAGCCACTCTGGGGAGGTCTGAATCCTGAGAGAGCTCATCTGAGAACACAGAACTGATTCCTCCAGAGCCCTTGGAGGGACTCCCAGGACGTTCTTATTCCCCAGACCAAGCAGATGAGGTGTGTCTCAAGCAAAGAAGAACTCAGGGTGGCCTATTGCCACGTCTCATCGTTTGAAGAACTAGGAAGTTCCTCCTGATCTCTACCTTAATCCCTCTTGCTTTGTCCCCTTTTATTGATTCTTCAGTAGAGTGACACAAGAATTGCGACTTTGTTTGTTCACCATCGTATCAACAGTGCCTTAAATACATGGGTGATTTTTTTCTTTCTTTTTTTTTTTTTTTAATATTTAATAACCAGGGCAGCACCAGCCAGAATAGACTCTGGCTGGGGTGCTGAGCAGGGTCCAAATGGAAAGAGTCCTGCGCTTAGGTTCTCTTCTTGGCTTTGTGGCTAATTTGCTGTGGGACCTTGAGCAAATCACTTGACCTCCTTGAGCCTCGGTCTTCTCACCTACAAAAAGGGGGAATTTGGACTAGAGGTTGCAAACTCATATGCCTACAGGGTCAGGCAATTAAAGTAAATGAGTGAATCCAATAGGCTGGGGTTGTCCTGACTGTTACACATAGATTCCCTCTAAATGGGCAGCAGTTGCCAGATGGAACTGCTGACCCAGGCTGTCCAGAGCATTTAACTCTTCGAGAGATGCCGAGGATCTGGATGTCTATGTGAAATCTTCTGGTGTTTAAAATACTGCGTGGGTCAAACAAACATCTCTAAGCCAGTTTCACCCCTAGACTAGAGGATCTGAAGGGCCTGCCCAGCTCGAATTTTCTGATTCTAAAACATGTGTCTTCTGAAGAAGATCCTTAACAAATCACCTTAGTTATTGGGATTTCAGCTAGTGCTAAAGTGAATGCCTGTGTGTGGGCTCATACTTGTATGCCACTGGGCTTTTGGCTCTCCTCAAATGACACTCTCCTGGTGGTCTTCCCGCATCCCTCACACACCTGCAGTGGACTGTTTGCTCGGTCTCAGGAGCCCAGCCCTGGGCCAGATGGAAAATGCTGCTTGTCCAATGAGCTCATCAGCAGTAAAGAGCTGGCTGTGCTGATGAGATAGCCCTTCCCCTGTGTGAAGGGAAGAGTGGCCACAGGCAGTGGCTGAGACAGAGGCTGGCAGAGTTAGGCTCAGGAACTTGCTGCCTTCCCAGGATTTTGCTGGCTATGTTCCTAAGCTGAATTGGAACTAGGAATCAAGTCCACATTATTACCAATGTGGAGCTCTCCAACCTACCTGTATTAGTTTGCTAGGGCCACCAGAACAAGGTACCACAGCCTGGGTGGCTTAAGCAACAGAAATTTATTGTCTCACAGTTCTGGAGGCCAGAAGTCCAAAATCAAGGTGTCTGTAAGATTGATTCCTTCTGAGGACTTTTGGGGCAGGATCTGTTCCAGGTCTTTCTGCTTGGCTTGTAGATGGCCACCTTTCCCCTGTATCTCTTGGCATCATCTTCCCTCTATGCCTGTCTGTCTCTGTGTCCAACTTTCCCCTTTTTTATAAGGACACCAGCCATATGTGATTAGGGCCCATCCTAATGACTTCACTTTAACTTGATCAACTTTATAAAGATTATTCCTCCAAGTAAGGTCACATTCTGAGATACCGGATGTGGTAAGACTTCAACATCTGAATTTAGGGGGGATACAATTCAACCCACACCACCTCTCTTCCATGGTCTCTCACTCATTGTTTTAAACTCCAAAACCCAAGGACCCTGCTTATGCCCTTTCTTACTTGTGACAGCTCAGTGCTTCAGGGTCTCATATACAGGCACACAGCTGGCCATAAGCATGTACTCTACATGGACTGGGGTTCATGCAGAGGGAAAGGTGAGGGAACTCTCATCAAGCACCTTTTAAGGGACCTACAGGCCTTGAATTTCAGGTAATAAGAGGAGATATCTTATTCTGTGAGACACTGTCTATATTGGGACTTTTTACCCCGACACCAGTAAAAATTGCATGAATTTATACAACACTTGATAGGCCAAATACTGTTCCAAGCACTTTATATGAGGTAATTTACTGAATCCTCACAACACCCCTTTGAGGTGGATACTATTATTAACCTCATTCAACAGATAAACCGAGGACCAGAGAGCTTAAGAAACTTCCCCAAGTCTATAGTAACTGATGGAGTTGGGGTTTGAATCCCGATAGTTGGCCTCCCGATGAAAACGAGGGAACTATTATTCTCATTGTGTAGATGAGGAAACCGAAATCAAGAAGCTAAGTAATTCACCCAGGTAAGAGGCAGAGTAAAGGCAGAATTCCTGCCCTGGAAGCCACAGGGCTTCCCCCACTGGGGACCAAGTGTCCTGAGTCTCTTCCCCATATCCCACTCCACTCACGCACACCCCCGGGTAGTAGGGCCAATCCAGAATCTCTAAGCCCTTATTTGTGGTTAACTGTCTCCATACCGCAGGGTAATTATGTGGCGTGAAGGAAGGAAGCCACCCTCCCAATTTAGATCCGCCCAGTCGCTTCCAGGTCCCAAGACCACTAGCCCCAGGCTTAATGGGGTCTAGGCCAGAGTCTGGGAATTTTCTGAGCCCGGGTTAGAAGCGAGCGAGGGCGGTGGGGAACAGGATGGGCGGGGCTGGGCCGCTCGGGAACACAGAGTATCAGATTTCTCGCAACTTGCCAATCCGGAGCACGGGAGGGCGTGTCCACACCTGGGAGGCGTGGCCGGGCGGCGGAGGGGGCTGCGGCGTCCTGGGGCGAGGCGCTGACGTGAGCTCGGCACACCTGGGCCCGGCAGGTAAGGGCCGACGCGGGGCTGGGAGCGGAGCCCGCAGTCCCGACCTGCGCAGAGCCAGGTGTTGCTTGCCCAGCCGGTCGAGGAGCGCGGTGGCGACGGGTGATCTTAACTGGGGACTTGGTTCGGAGGGACGTCCGCTTCTGGTAGCCGGATTGAGGAAAGGTGGGGACGCCAACTTCTGGAACCTCACTTGAGGGAGGCGGGACACGCCCGCTGGTGGAGAAGGGTCCGCTCCAGAGTTTGTGGGGTTAGGAAAGCTTGCTTGGGGACATCTGTTTGCTTGGGGATACACTCTGGGGCTGGGTGCCTGTCGCCCTGCTGCAGGTAGCTTTTGGGCGGTCCTGGTCCTGGAGCGTGGGGCCCCTCCCGACCCCGCACTTCTGTCGACTCCCTTTCCTTCCCGGCCCAAAGGGAATGTGCTGCTCTCGGCCCCTACCCACCCACCGTGGGATAGAGCTAAGGCGCCCCCACTCCTTCGGTCTTACCAGCTCGCTGGGCCGCGGGCCCCTGTGTCCCAAAAAGGGGACTTCCCAGGCCCGCCGGGCCTTGGTCCCGGTGGGTGTTTTGGGACACTGAGGGTGGGGGTGGCCAGGAACTTTAGCCAATTTGTTTGTTTTCTCTCCTTGAATGTGTTTAGCACAGTCAGGCCCCTCGCCCTGGGCCTGGGAGACACCCATGGATTTCCAGGTAGTCAAGCTAGGTGCTGGGGAGGGTGGCGCCGGGCGTGGTTGCTCTGGGGGTGAGGCTCTTTTCGCCTGAAGGGGCTGGAGGGCGGGTGTGGAGAAAAGAGGAAAGTGTCTCAGGACTTGACTGGGAGGTCCTGGGTGCCCTCTTTACAGGGAGCCTGCCTTGTGGTGAAGGAGCCATCCCTGCCCCGACCCTGCTCCTTGTGGATGTCAAAAGTGGAAGCCAGGGAAGGGAGAGGGAAAAGGCGCTTGAGTTAGGGGTTGGTGAAGGCTAGTGCTGACCCAGGAGAGCAGTTTAGGGTTAGATGTATGTATAATGCATGACAGCAGCACTCAATACCCTGCAGCTCCCTCTCACCAGCCCCCAACTTCGATCCAGCGGGGAGGAAGGGGGTGAGAATTATGGCTAGAGGCCCAGAATTTACCCCTAAGCAGGGTTAACCTACATGGAGGACAGACTGGAAACTTGGAGGATGGCATTTCAGTTCCCTCCAAGGAGGAAGGGAAAAAGCAGGACCACCACAAAGGCCTGTCTGCCAGAAATGGAGGCTGTGCTTTACTCTGAGCAAAACCATTGACAACTGAATCTCGGCTTTAGGGTAGCAGTGCCCCTGGAAACTAGTCTAGGCAGGGGCTGCAGAGGTGGCAGTGGGAGTGTTGTAGAGGACCTGCTCGCTGGAATAGGGGTGTGAGAGAGGACAGTTAGTGCCTTGGGGAGGTTGAAAGTGTCCTTGCTCAATGCCCAGTGTAAGGGGAGTGGATGGGATGGCATCTTTGTTCTTTGGCTGCTTAAATACCTGTTGGAGACACAGGCCTTGATTTCGCTGATAGCCAGAGCTGAGTTCGACCAGGCTAAGGTTGTTCTGTGGGCATTGGGATTTGGGTGGTAAGAAGGTTTTGAAAGAGAACTCTGATTTAGGTGTGCTTGAGGGTGGCTGTCGTGCAGTCTCTTCCCTAACCACTTCATTTGTCCTCCATGCTGCGGGGATCTTTGCGGATGTTTTGGTTTACTCTCTTAGTGTCTAGAAGAAAGGAGGGACTTGGAAGGCAGAGTGCAGTGGCAGGAAGCAGTTCGGCACTCTGACTCTGGAGTGTTGGTCTAGGCCTCAGATAAAGCACTTAACTTTTCTGTGCCTCAGTTAACCCAGCTGTAAAATAGGGATGATGATAATAACATTGCCAGATTATGAGGATGAAATCAGATACGTTTAGCAAAACTGCATGTAAAAACTATAAAGCCTATGTAGATACAGAGGGTTGTTGTTATCATGGTCTCATCAGCTGAAGGCCGTCATCTTTTATCACCAAGAAATGTCATAGCTCCCTGTGGCTAAAAAAATACTCGTAGGTTTTTTTTTTTTTTTACATTATAAATTGAAACATATCATTGTATGAAAATGTGAATCATATATAAAAGTATATAGGCAAGTATAAAATTCACCCATAATCCTATCACTAGGTAACCATTACGAATATCTTGTTGCATTGGTATATTATTTCTTTCCCTTTTTAAATTCTGTGTATGTGCCTATGTACTCAAGTGCAGGTTATGTTACGAGATGGAGGTGCTGCTATACAGTCAATACTGTACGCTGCATTTCCCCCCTTTATATTGTAAATGTTTCCCAAAGTCCAATAAAAATTCTTCAGATGCCCCATTGTTAATGGCCGCCTAATACTGCGGCCTGTGAATGTGTAATTAGCCATTTTCCTCTGTTATTTCGGTTGCTTCCCATTTTTCCCTCTCTGCCTGTTTTTGGAGTCTTCGTTACTGAGTGGCGGGGGCGAGGGGGGGATCTTGGCTTACTTTCAGAAGGTGGAGAGGGTTAGCAGTGATGGAGGTGGGGAGTGGAGGAGGTCAGGCTGGGGCGGGGTTGCTCTTGGGTAGTGCCATCTTGGGAGAACGCCAAGAGCCCAGGTCTCTAGATCCTAATCATCCATCTCTATGGGTGGCTGCTTCTCCTTCCCCATCACTAGGTGCAGTTCCTTATATTGACCTGGTTGCTTTAATTTTTTTTTGTTGGGCTATGGATCAACTAGAATAAGCCGTTTTCTTCAAAGTCCACGATCCGTCAAGAGGTGAATTTCACGTGTCTGACAGGCCCAGACACAGGACTTAGCAGTATTGCAATAGAAATTCACGAAAGCCCCTCGCTAGGTTGATGGGTTTGCTGCTTATTTCCCTATTCTTTTCGTCCTCCCCTGGGCCCATCCCCCTTCCAGTAGGCTAGGACTGAGGAGGAGAAGGTAGAACTCGCCCTTGGGACAATATGCATTCCCTCCTCCATATAAGGTAAACGTTCTCTGTGGTTTGGTGGTTTGACGTGCTGCCCTACAAAACAACCTAAACCAAGGCCAAGAGCGTGGGGGTGGGGGGGTGCGCTTGAATGCTGCATGCCAACCTCACCTGCCCACTGTGAGCTGTGCTCCCAGGGGGAAGGTTTCAGTTGCAGGACTTGGTAATTGGGTCAGAAGGCTCAGGTGAGAGCAGGTCCTGCCTTGCTCTTAAAGTGCCAGAGGCTGAAGTGGGTTTGGGTTTTTCCCATCTTTTGGGAATCCGGCTGGGGAAAGAAGAGGTGTTGGGGGCCACCCACTCAGTGAAGCTCCTCCGAGTGGGAGCCTTTGGCTGACTCAACTGGTTTGGTTTCTGAACCACCATCCAGGTGGGGATCTTTCTGGGTGTGAAAGTGACTTTATCATTCTTTCCTCCTAAGGCCATTGTGGGGCTTGAGCAGTTCCAATGTGGATTTCTTCAGGGAGTCTGATGAAAACATTGAGCTTTCCCGTTTAGTAACTAACATAGTGCTTGACACACAGTAGCGATGAACAAATATTTGTTGAAAGAATGCTATTTTGCTGGTGTCCCTTCTCACCTTAAGTAAAAACAAGAGATAAGAACACCAAAAAATCTAAACACAACATCTCAGGCAGACAATTCTCCAGTGACTGATTTTTCCTTCAGGCACCCAATCTGAGCAGGCCTTTGTCTCCTGCTGTGAGTGCTGGCTGCTGCCTAATGTTATCTGCTATGCCCGTGTATTTTTATGAGGATCAATTGCAGACTTTACCCAGGCTGGCTCCTGCAACCAATCAGTTCACTCCAGCCTCTGTGGGGAGATAAACAGACCTAGGTGAGGAGGCTGTCCTGGCAGTAGAGGACATGTCTTATGGCTCTTTTTAGGACTCTAGGGCTAGGAACTGTGGTATTTAATTATTCTAGGGCTTCTGAGCTTTACTAGACTCAGTTGCAGCCAAGGGTTCTCAGAGCCTTTGTCTCCAGTGTTACCAGCCTTCTCCGAGACCCTGGATTGTCCTGTGGATAACCAGCTCAGACCCACTTTTCTTGGTACAGAATCTTTGGGTGGCCCAGAGAAAGGAAAGCTGACTGAAGGCCCAGCTGTTCAGATCCCTGTGGATACACTGCCTGCTCATCTATGTAAGTGAACACTTTGGAACCAAACTCACCCTTGGCCTACTTCTCTCACCAGGGTGGTGTCATTTCTTGCTAACATATTCCCATTTGCCTTTAGTTGTCTATATAAAGAAAGCGTGCTTCAAGTTCTTGCCTGTATCCTTGCTGTTTCCGTAACTTTTTTTTCTTCTCTCTGCTGAGATGAGATTGAAAAGAGCAATTTCCCTTCTCTTCCAAAGCCCTTGGTACTTCAGGAAGGACTGTGTTCCAGCAGGGATGACATCATCTTTTTACTTTTCTGCTTCAGGATTTAAATAGAAGAAATGTGATCTACTTACATGATAAGTCTGATTTGGCTAGAGCATGAAGTATAAATGGCTTTGGACTAGGAATCAAAAGAACCTTTTAACCTCTTCTTTTTTTTCCCCACCTGGCACAGTTTATTCCCATATTTAGTTTCTTTGCTGTAATCTAATGAAACTGTAGCTCTATCATACGGGAACAGGGGCTGGGAAAAGTTCCCAGTGGCTGGCCTAATTCTCCTGTTCTCCTCACTTCTCCTCCCTCCCCCCAACCCAGATCATGGCCCTCCACCCCCGCAGAGTTCGGCTGAAGCCCTGGCTGGTGGCCCAGGTGGATAGTGGCCTGTACCCTGGGCTCATCTGGCTACACAGGGACTCCAAACGCTTCCAGATTCCCTGGAAGCATGCCACCCGGCACAGCCCCCAACAAGAGGAGGAAAATACCATTTTCAAGGTAAAGGAATTTTTCGCCATCTGACTTGAAATGTTTTCCAATTCTCTCAGGCCTTTTTGGTTTTTTGTTCTGTTTTCTGTTTTGGCATGAGAAGTATACTCGATCCAAAATGCTGATGCAACTGAGAGAATGTTTATGAGGGGGTGCCCAAACTTAGCAGGCATAGTAATCTCTCTTGTGCTGGCATGTTTCTATAATGGTTGAGGCCATTTATTCTTCCCCATTGGTTGAAGGTACTCAACTCACATCCCAAAGGATCCCAGGTGTGGTTTGCTGAACTCTTGTAAGTGATTGTCTTGATGTGGTTCCAAAAGCTCCCAAGGGTCAGTGTCAACTCTTTCTCTTCATTCACTCTAGGCTCTTGCTGTGAAGAGAGGTGCTTGGGCCTGGGAATGGCTATCTAGACCAGGACGAAACCATGGAGTGTTAGCAGGCTCCTAAAATAGCCTGTTGGTTGGGTATAAAGGGCACTCCACAAGTGTTTCTTTTTTATATTAAAATTGTTTTCCCTATTCATAACCACTGCTTAGAAATTAAAGGAGATTTAATTACCAGTTTTTATTCTATAAATACGTTTTCTTAAATAAAAAATAGCTTTCAGTTATTTTACTTAACTGAAAACAAGATTTAATCACATGGCATTGTGCAAAATGTAAGTGAAACCAAAACTTGACTTAAGACAGAAGTAGGTGGGAAGCTGGTTGCGGGAAGGGGTGTTGTGTGGTTTGTAACTCTGGAGCCTGGGCCTCTGCGCCAGACCAACTTCTCTGTGCTGCTCAGTCTTCCATCTCATGAAGAGCTTTAGTTCCTGCGCCCCCAAGACACAGAAGTGAGCTTATCCTTTTCTTCCCTGACTATAAGCTGGAAGTCAGAAGTGAAATCCAGTCCCTACCCTGGGCATCTCAAGATTGATGCCCCACGTTCTTGCTGAGTTTGGATCAGGAAAGGTGGGCTCACTCCTCAAAGGAGAGCCACCCTCGAGATGTTTCCCACTCAACTCAGTTAAGTCAGGTGTAGAGACAAGAGGTGGAGAGAAAATTGGCCTCAGAGTACATAGAAAGAAAGTAAATGTGCTTTTAATTTAAAAAATAAGTAATGATATAAAAGTGATAAGAGAAACATCTGAAAACCACCAATTATGGGAGTTGGCATTCAGTGGGGGATGAGCCTGTCTTGGGCCAGCTGGCTTCTTGTGTGGCCTTGGTCTGAAACAGGACTTGATGTTGAAGTGTTGGTGGTGGCTGGCCATGGGGAAGAGGCTGGTTCCTGAAAGCCCCACTCACAAGAGCGATCTGTTTGCTTAGGGCTTGAGGAAAAGCTGGCTGTGGGAAGCTGCTTTGTCGTATTTATATCTGTATATCCATTTTCAGAATGCTAAGGGAGGGCCTTGGAAGTCAGGAGAAGAGTGACGGTGCTCTCACAGATCCCAAGCTCTGACAGGCCTTTGGCAGGATATGCGGGGTGGGGGAAACAGCACTAGCCTTAAATGGGTGCCTGCTCCATAGCCTAAGTCCATTATCTCATTTAATTCTCAACAGCTCTGTAAGGGAGGTGTTACCTTATGATGTAGATGCAGAAACAGTCTTAGAGGAGCTAAGTAACTTGCCAAAAATCACATAGCCTATAAGTGGTGGGACCAGGATTCAAACCCAGGCCTATCTGCTCCCTTATTATCATGCTGCCCCTTCTGACCGGGAATTGGAAGACCTGGCTTCAAATCCTACTACCATCAATTGCGTATGTGGTTTTGGGCAAGTCACATAATCTCTTTGGGCTTTAGCTTCCCCTAGTAAAATGAGGATGAAAGCAGTCTTGCCTGCCTCATAGGACTGTTGTGAGAATTGAGTGAAATAATGAATGAAAAGGGACTTGTACCACAAAAATGCAGAAGTTATTTCCATTTAGGAAGACAAATAAGGACCTGCACAATGACCAGAATCTTTCAGAAACAAGACTCAGAATGGCTTTGAACAAGTAATGTTTATAAATTACAATGATTGCCATGTCGTGGGTACTGTCCTCTGTGCCGCCTGACTCGGCCCTGGGTAAGGGCTGTGTGATAAGCAGAAAGGTGGGGCTGTGGTTCTGGGTTAGTCTGGTTGCTTTCCTTTGAAGGGCAGGGATTTAGGGAGCCACAGAAATTTGCAGACCTCTGCCAAAGTCAGCATAGCCGAAGCCGGCTGGGTGGGGCCAGAGTGGAGTGGGTGCAGAGGATCAAACAAAAGAAGGGAAAATGTGGCGAGGCAGCAGCCAGGTACCACTAAGTAACTGGAGATGTGCCTCTCAGATGCTAGGGACCAGTGAATTTGACATCCCCTATAGGGGGTTAGATGGAATGAAGCCTGCTAAGCCACCTAGGGCAGCACAGCTTTGTCTAACCTCTTCATTCCACACTGCAAACAAATAGAGGAGCCAAGTCTGAGAAGATGGTAAGAAGTGAGTCTGAATTGGATGAGAAGGATTTAGATTAGCTATGGAAGAAACTTCCTCATGATTGTGAGGCTTTGCAGGGAGTGACTGAGGGAGATCAGAAATCTCAAAGAAGGGGCAGAAAAATTCCATTTCAGCTTGAGGAAGAAGTCTATGGGCAGGAGCAGAGGCAGGAGCAGAGGCATGTGATATGCCCTCTTGGCTTGAACAAGTTGGTGTCTGCTTCCTGATCTTGAGTACTCCATTAATGATATGCCCCCTTTTTGCATCAGAACATACATCACACTCCTGAAGAAAGCTTAGAGGTCTGAGAATTTGTTAGCACTGAGGGAGAATGGATATCTGGTGAGCAGAGACAGAAGTGCCTGTTAGACCTGGAAGTCGGGCTGGGTTTCTACTCCGTCCTCTATTGCTGAGGACCTTGTCTACCATTGGAGCAGCCTGGGTTGTCCTTTTCCTCATTGGGGAAGCTACGTTGTTCCCCTTGTCTGGGAAAGCACCGTGAGTTTCCATAAGTGAAAACCAGAGAGGAGCATCCAAAGTGGTTTTAGCCCATCCATCAGCCACTGATGTTTCCAGCAGAATGTTTCTAATCAAGTGGGAGTTTGACGAAATAGGGAAAGGAAGGGGGTCTGGGTTTATAAGGAGGTTTATATGAGGCCCTCAGCCAGTGGGGCAAGCTGAACCCTCAGAGTGTACTTCCTATCGTCCTACAGGCTGTTACTCTTTTTTTATGCATCAGATTAAAGACTGAAGGGGGTAGGGAATAGCAAGGCCAAAATCTTTATATCATATGTCATTTCCCTTTCTCTTATTATTATATAAGTAACTCATGTCAAAAACAAGTAAGCCAAAAAAAAAAAAAAATTTTACCCGAAATCATGCTATCCAGAATTACCATTAGCATTTTGGTGTGTATTTTTTCCAGAATTTTCTTTATTTTCACCTCTTCATTATAGCCTTTGTAGTCTTGACAGGTGGTGCTGGTACCTCTTGAGATAAAGCTCCTCTTTTCAAAAGATTGTGTTTGCATATGGCTTAATTTCCCTCAGGCTCTGCCTTGCCTGGTCCTACAGGCAGTGTTTCCTGCTACAGTCTCTGTAAATTGGAATTGGGATGGTGGGGCCGTCAGACAAGGGTGTGTGTATATGTCCATCCATATGAGAGAGGGTGAGCACACTTTGCAGTTTCTGGGCAACAGCAGACACTCACTGTAATTTCCTATTCCTCAGGCCTGGGCTGTGGAGACAGGGAAGTACCAGGAAGGGGTGGATGACCCTGACCCAGCTAAATGGAAGGCCCAGCTCCGTTGTGCTCTCAACAAGAGCAGGGAATTCAACCTGATGTACGATGGCACCAAGGAGGTGCCCATGAACCCAGTGAAGATATATCAAGTGTGTGATATCCCCCAGCCTCAGGGGTCGATCATTAACCCAGGTGAGGCCCCAGCTGCTCGGGAGAAGGTGGATGGTCTGTCAGGTTGTAGGCTGGACTCTTAAAGATAAGATAGTCGACTTGAAAATCGTTTGGCTTACAAAGACTGGTGAAGCAAGTAAGCCTTTCGCTAAGAAGGACCCAGAGAACAGAAGCTGTAGACTTGGCAAAATCATCTTGCTTACTTAGGGGAATAGTTACTAGCTTGATCGCTTAAAGCATTAGAAAGTGTAGAGTTCTACTGTAAAAATTGCTTCCCTCAAGACTCAACACTGAGAGGAGAGGCGGGGTGGTTTAGAAGAAGGAGGAATTAAAACTTAGAGTGTTTGAGTTCTAAACCTGGCTCTTATCACTTCACTACTTGTGGAACATTGAATCAAGTTATTTGACCTCTTGAGCCTCAGTGTCTTCAACTGTAAAATCTGGGCTCTCATCTTTCCTGTCTATTTCAAAGGCTATTGTAAGATCAATTGACATGATATGTAAAAGCTATTAAGTTCTCTTTATAAAACGTTGGGTGGTTGATCATTTAGTTTGAAGGATACCTGTGCTAAGAGAATACCACCTGATCCTCCTAGTTACCCAGGGCTTAACAAGTACCAACTAAGAGCCAGATAATTTAGACTTGTCCTCCAGTGAATCCAGTGAGGCCTTGCCATGAGGGAAGCATCTCCTCACATTAAGCTTACAAGGAGAAAAGTTGGTGTCCTTGAGTCCTTGAAAGGGACGCTAATGTGTAGGAAGAGCTTTAGAGTGGAAATTAAGAGATTTCTAGGAGAAGAAAGTCAGGTCTGCAGCTCCTGGATAGGGGAGGTGAAGACAGCTTACATTAGGGCTCTGTAAGAGGAATTAGAACCAGAAGTTAATACACCCTGTGTTCCCACTCTGATTGGCTAGGGTGTTGAGGGTGCAAACTGCATCTGAGAGGCCTCTGTGCTAGCAGTCCCCAGTTTGTATACTGGGACACCTAGAGGGATGACAGAGCAACCTGAGCAGCTCATGTGCAGGCTTGTGTGTTGGTTTCTCGGGTAGGATCCACTGGGTCTGCTCCTTGGGATGAGAAGGATAATGATGTGGATGAAGAAGATGAGGAAGATGAGCTTGATCAGTCACAGCACCATGTTCCCATCCAGGACACCTTCCCCTTCTTGAACATCAATGGTGAGTGGGAGCAGTGGGTATAGAAGGATGAGGAGTATGTAAGGGGCTTTGATCTTGCAACTGCTGACCCCTCAGCCACGACTGCACTGGGAATAGTGACCAGGCCATGTGGCCAGGCTGCTGGTCTATTAGCAAGTAGGGGTCATAGGCAAGGGAATTCCGCTGGCCCAGTTATCCCAGTGGGGTGGCTTTTAGGCATAGAGAGCATCTTCTAAATCTTATGTGATAATTTAGAGAAATTAAAATTTAAATTCATTCTCAGTCCCACATACAGATACATTGGCTGTTATGAATTTTGCTGATTTCCTTCAGGCCACATGCAGACATCATTTTCATGAATTGTAGGCAAACTCTTCTGCTATTTCCCTTGGTATAAATTTATTGTGTCATTTTCTTAACAGAGACTACTCTGCTAAGGCTGTATCATGGGAAACTTGTGGTTTCTATAGCTCTAAATACTCCGATAGAATTTATCTGCAAGAGACTATTCTTTAATAACTTTTTGAACTCAGTTTCCCAGGAAAAATGAGTTTAGAGGTTAGAAGGTCACTGTGGGCCAGAGCATGTCCTGAATCTCCCATTGCACATTCTGAGGATGCCCAAACCCAAGGTGAATGCTCTTCTGCAGCATCTTCACTTGACCTGCCACTGAAATGCTCCTAGTCAAATGACATGCATTCAGTTGAGCAACTTTTCACTTACCCTTCTAGTTCTAGCTGGTTGCTATTGGCCAAATGAGATACTTGTGCCACATAGAAAATTTTAGTATATCAAGATGATTCTTTAGGATTTTGGAGTACTCTACTCTAGTTGGTGTGCTCACCTTCGAGAATCAGGAAATGACACTTATCATCTGTCCAGTTGCCCTCCTTCACTTACCCTGCCATTTACGTCTTTGCAACTAAGTGATGAGTAAAGAAAAATACCGAGTTCTTTCAGGTCAATATTGCCACATGTTACATTCCCACTGAGTGAAATTTTAAGAATTAGACATCTGGAAATGTGGGATCCTTTCCCAAATCCTTGGCTGAATCATTCTGTTATTCTCACCTCTTGAAAGGATGCAGCCTATTTGCAGATCCTGATTTCCTGTTTCTGTTCATATTATTAAACCTAGTGTTGTGTGGCCTTATGTTATGGGCCACCATGGATCCTTTTTGGAAAGATGTGGGACATATATTAAAAACAAAAATGTGAAATAGGGTACATAGACTTAACCAGACTTATACACAGGGGTCAAAGAAACAACCTCTGTGATTTCAGAGCTGTTGCGGCAGAGGAAGAATTGTTGAAAAATAGATGCTTAAGATGTGAGGCCAGGAGGAGAGATCTGTAGACTTTGGAGCAAGTCAACTTTGACAATAGCAAGGAAATAGGATGGGTTTTTCACTCTTTTATTTTTATTTATTTATTTATTTACTTTTGGTGAGGAAGATTGGCCCTGAGCTAACATCTGTGCCAATCTCCCTCCACTCTGTATGTGGGACACTGCCACAGCATGACTTGCCAATCAGTGTGTAGGTCTGTGTCTGAGATCCAAGCATGTGAACCCAACCATTGTGCCACTGGGTGGCCCCATTCACTCTCTTTTTTCAAAGCTTTAATTGGATACTTTTGAAGAAACAATACTCGAATGTGGTTTAAAATTCATAATGGTACAAAACAGTAATCAGTTGAAAAGTTTTCCTTCCATCCTGTCTCTGAACCTCCCAGTTGCTTCCCTGGAGGAAACAGATCGTTCCAGGTTCTTGAGTATCCTTCTAGATGTTTTATGCATGTAAAAGTATTTGTTTTTAATGAAATTTCTATACATTAACACTTACTTGAAGCTAATTAAGTAATTCACTTGAGTTCATTTTATGGAAGACAACTAGCTTCCACTTAATTGCTTGGCTCAAATTTTGCAACTGGGAACCTTTTATTCGTGCTCATTCTAATTTAACCCCAGAGAAAACTCACTCGTCTATCTGTTAATCTTCTGCAAATGCAGGTTTTTCAGAACTGGGAGTTTATGGGAGAACTAATATGATTAGGAAGCAGAAGCAGGGGAACCTTATTTCTTATTGTGCTAGTTGTGGGAATCTTGGATGGGTTGCCATGCTGAGTCATGGTCCAGTGTTTGACTAACATCTATTGACTCTGTTAGGTTTTAGAGCCTCAGACCAAGAGCTGTGCATATGTGGTGCCCCCGCCTGCTCACCCACATCCTTCTGTTCTAGGTTCTCCCATGGCACCAGCCAGTGTGGGCAACTGCAGTGTGGGCAACTGCAGCCCTGAAGCAGTGTGGCCCAAAACTGAACCCCTGGAGATGGAAGTACCCCAGACACCTATACAGCCCTTCTATAGCTCTCCAGAGCTGTGGATCAGCTCTCTCCCAAGTAAGTGAGACTTGAACTTTCCAGCTGGGTCTTCAGCTCCTATTATAGTCACTTTCCTGCTCCACCTTCTGCTTCCATTTCTTTGTCACATATAGAAATGACCTGTCCTACAGGCGGCTTCCGTGTCTGGTTCCTGGCTGGCTGATGAGTCACCAGGGAAAAATAAAGAAACATTAGCCTATACCTACTTGCCCATGGGGATACTCTGATTGGTTGCAGCTCTAGGTTACTCATCTCTTGGGTGGGTGGAAGGCCTGGGTTTATCAGTTTGAGTAGGGGATTTGGGGACAAGGTCAGTTGTCAGAAAGGGAGGTTAATGGCTATGGATTTGGTCATGGAGGCTCTTGGATTTCGAGGGGCTTGAGGACCAAGAGAAAATCTCTTTCTGAATTGGGGACAAATTGATGTCAATGAAGAATCAATGTCATTGCCCCATCTCCCTTTCTTCCCCATCTTCCCATACTACACATGGTGGGGGGTATGAGTGCTAGAATTTTGTCCAAGAGGCTAAAAGCTTTGATAAGACCTATAGGATTCAATGGAGACTTGCTGAGTGAAAATTTACTTTGCTATGAACTATGTTCTTTAATGATATATTATTAGAACAGGTCCACAGTATGTGCTCATGTGTGTAATTTTCAGAAAGATGATTTGATATTTCTTCTTGTTCCTCTGGTTTCTTTAAACAGTGCTCCAAAAATGAGACATAAACGATATACCTTAGTTTTTAGCTTCTTTCAATGAATATTGATGTGAAGACTCAGCCAGTACGAAATGAGGAGAGCGGGACCCAGAAGTTTGCTTGGAGAAATTCTAGCCTTAGGGTGTGGTGATTGAGTAGAGATAGTATAGATAGACCTTGAACTGTTTGCTTCATGGCAGCCTTTTGAGTGAATATTCCAGGGCTATGTTGATGTCTCCCTTTATTACAGGAAGGATAACTATGGCAGTAGCCTTCCTGAATGCTGGTTGAAAGGTGGCTTGATCTTGATGGAATTGCGTGAGTCTTAGGGATGGACAGGCAGAGGAACAGAGAAGGACTCTCACTATCTTCTCTCACTTGCAGTGACTGACCTGGACATCAAGTTTCAGTATCGTGGGAAGGAGTATGGGCAGACCATGACTGTGAGCAACCCTCAGGGCTGCCGGCTCTTCTATGGGGACCTAGGTCCCATGCCTGACCAGGAGGAGCTCTTTGGTCCCGTCAGCCTGGAGCAGGTCAAGTTCCCAGGTCCAGAGCATATCACCAATGAGAAGCAGAAGCTGTTCACCAGCAAGCTGCTAGATGTCATGGACAGAGGACTGATCCTGGAGGTCAGCGGTCACGCCATTTATGCCATCAGGCTGTGCCAGTGCAAGGTGTATTGGTCTGGGCCATGTGCCCCATCGCTTGTTGCCCCCAACCTGATTGAGAGACAAAAGAAGGTCAAACTATTCTGTCTGGAAACATTCCTTAGTGGTGAGTCTTTTTTCAGAAGGTTGATGGTGGGAACTGCTCCTTCGAAGTACGTCTTCCTCCTTTTCTGTCTCTGGAAAGATCTTAACCAAAAAACTTCTTGAAGTCAAGATGGAAGAGAACCTTGGTTCTGAAAAATGAAAGTGACCTGGGTAACAAAAAGGGTTGTTCTGCTCCAAAGCCATGTACTTGGAAGCCATTTTTAAGTTGGCTTTGACTCCTTTAGTGGCAGAAGAGGGAGACAGTCTTGTCATTACCCTTCACATGCTACCAGCTTATCCTTAACTTTGGAAAGTGACCTTGTTCATCATAATCAGCAACATATATACTTTTCCCATCTGGGAAATATCTGAGTGGTGAATTCAAGCAGACAGATTTAGGGAGAGCACTGAGATGTGAATTTTACAATGTGGTTTGAACCCCAAGTCTTGTTCAATGATGTCCAATAGAATCCTCTGAAAAGATGAAAATTTTCTATATTTGCGTTGTCTAGTATGGTAGCCACTAGCCACAGGTGGCTATTGAGCATATAAATGTGACTAAGGAACTATTTAATTTTAATTAATTTAAATTTAATGGCCACGTGTTGTGGTTAGTGGCTACCATATTGGACAGCATAGACGATGATATTTACTGAGTGGATATGGAATAACTCAGTACACCAAACTTACTCTTCCACCTTCTGCAGATCTCATTGCCCACCAGAAAGGACAGATAGAGAAGCAGCCACCATTTGAGATCTACTTATGCTTTGGAGAAGAATGGCCAGATGGGAAACCCCTGGAAAGGAAACTCATCTTGGTTCAGGTGAGGAGATAAGGATGTGTCAGCGACTCTTTGCCTTTTTACCAGTGCTTTAGCCACTAGTTCTGGGGTTGAGCCATGAGTGAGGACCCATCAGCCTGTGTGGATTTTAATCCCATTAGATGGAGTAACAGACTCAAGCTTTGTACACTCTTTACAGTAAGACCATGATGGAGAATATAAGCTCTTCAAGTGGGTGACTGATGTAATGGGGACCTTATCTTTCATTTTCTTACTGACATTAGAATCTTCCTGAAACCTAACAGGATATGATCCTTTCTAGCTCTTTTAGAAAAACCCTTTGAGTTTCTTTTAAGAACCTAACCTTATGCTAGGAAATGGCAGCAAGACCACTGGGTTTGGCCCCTGGATTTGTGCAACGACAGGCAATAGATGAAATTTGGGTAAAAGTCTTGTAGAGTGAACCTTGGTAGAATTGTCCAGAAAGATGAAGGCATATCCTATATCTAGACATTAGAGTAGGGGGCTTCCCCAGGGCCTCAATGGTCCTTCCTTTAATCTTGTGTCCTTCCCGCTGTTTAAAAATACCTTTTCTTCAGTGCATACCTGTGTGCTCTGTGTCCTGAACAGGTCATTCCAGTGGTGGCTCGGATGATCTACGAGATGTTTTCTGGCGATTTCACACGATCCTTTGACAGTGGCAGTGTCCGCCTGCAGATCTCAACTCCAGACATCAAAGATAACATTGTTGCCCAGCTGAAGCAACTGTACCGCATCCTCCAAACCCAGGAAAGCTGGCAGCCCATGCAGCCCACCCCCAGCATGCAGCTGCCCCCTGCCCTGCCGGCCCAGTAGTTGTCAATGCCGTCTTCCTTCTCTTTTTTTACATTATTGTACATATGGTTATTTTTTATTACTCAGATTTAACCAGCTTTAGGACCTCTCTTCCTTCTAACAATGTTAGTAGTCTGACTCTCCAAATATGCCTAGCTTTTAAAGTTGATTTAATTTATGGAGAAATCGCCCTTTGTACTTTCCCTTTTTTAAACCTCCCAACACTAGTCTAATGTAGTAGAAGGAGATTTGGCCTGGGAGTTTGGACACCAGGGTTCTAGCTGCAGCTTGGCTTCCAATAGTGTGACCTTGAGCCAAGTCATTTAACCGCTGGGCTTCAGATTCATCACTGTGAAGTGAAGGGGTTGGAATGATGCCCAAAATTGCATCCATCTTTAAAACTCTGATTTGATGACTACATTCTACTTGTATAAGGCAAAACTGCCTGGAACAGAACCCTTCTGCATTGTTCTTGTACCACATTTTTTTCTTGGCTTTCATTAAAGTTCCCTCAAGCACTGATTTGTCCAGGATTGATCTCCGTTTGACCTGTTTTGCTAGTATAGTAAGTTGGCTCCCTGATGGGGGAAGTGAGAGGGAGGAGAGCTGGCTGGTTGCTTAGGAACCAAGCCAGATATCTAAATAGAAATAGGTGCCAAAGTCTGAAAGTCACCTGGCCTGTGGAGTAAAAGCTCATAAATTGAGCTTCTAATGGGAAGCTGTTGACATAGAAGGCCTAGGGATTCTGTAGAAGAATTGGCTGTCAGGTGTTTACCTTGCCACCACTCAGATAACCACTGTGTGTGTGTGGTAGATGAGGGTATATGACTCCGTAGTAGCCTTCAGAGAGGATAGAGCTCTCTTCTTATTTTCTTCTCTGAGGAAGACCTGAGAGTCAGCTGGGCATCTAAGATAAACATCTCTAAAAGGGACAGTTCTTCCTGGTTTGGAGACTTTTACAGTCTTCCTGTCATTTAGATTTTTTGCAGTTGGGACAAATGGGATATTGAATGTGTTAAGGCCAAGGTAAGGAAGGGCTGGGCAGTGCTTTTCTGGAAAAGGCTCACCTAGTACAAACCTGCTTGTCTCCCTTCCTAGTGGAGGGTATGAACAATTAAGGTGAAGAGTGGTGTAGAACATTGCAGCTATAGCTGCTATGAACTGGTCTTCTCTATTAACTTTTGCTTGGTGCCTGACTCTTTTGCCCCCCCCCCCTTTATTTTTTAAAGATGAAATTATACATAATTTAAACTCCAAGATCTAAATGGAAAACAAGATGCTGATCTCTGGTTGCAGGCCCCAATCCTCTTGAGAACTGATGCCTATTTGTGCCAGGCCATATTAAGAAAGTGCATATCTAGTCTGATACCCTTAAACCAAACCACCTCCTACTTGCTACTGAAGTTGGTCTAGCTGTATTTCAAAAACTATAGCTCAGCTCAGTCACAGGCAGCAGTGGGACTTATTTATTTAGAAGGCTTAAGCCATGGTTTTAGGGTCTTTAAGGCACCTGGTGGAATCTGCTGTTACTAAAGTATGACCAAGAGAAATCTGAGTAAAGGTCAGGCGCTCAGCTCTGAGCAGAAGTTGGGCTTTATAAACCAGAAAACATGCAAGGTATAGAAACTTGACGTTTTTTGGTCATTTTGTTGAGTGGGTGAAGTGAGGGATTTGGTTTTGATGTTTGGCTGTCTCTGTCTGTATCTGCATAGCTCAAAGTTAAAAAGAACCCACTGTAGATAAATTGGGAGGGCAACTGTTGGATCTGGGCTGGTCCCTCTCCCTTATTCTGTAAGATGCTAACAACCAGGCTGTCCATCTGGATGGGGGCCTAGATAATGGAAGCTGGCAAAGCGTGTTGAAAATAGCATTCTGAATGCCAAGAAGGATCAAACTTTTAGTATATGACTTTTAGTGAAAAGTTTATGAACACGTTGCAGGAAGGGATGAGCGATTTTACGCGGTCTTAACTAGATAACAGTTTCTTGTTTTTTTAATCTTTCAGAACTCTGGGAGAGTGCACGCAGGGCTCTCCACTGATAGCCATCAGTGCTCCTTCTCTGGTTTTGATGGGTAGACACCAGGTGTCCTTTCTTGGAGACTCAGCCTGCTATCTCCTTTGGTGGCTACAACACTCACTCTCTTGGTGTCTTCTACTTCCTTGCCTTCACCTTGCTTAACACTGGGAAGGGAGTTAGTTGGTGTCACTGGCTCTTCTTTTTCTTCTTTGTCCACCCCACCAAACTAGATTAGCTCAAAATTAAAAAGAAGCTACTGTAGGTAAATTGGGAGGGCAAGTGTTGGATATGGGCTGGTCCCTTCCCCACATAATTAAGTCCCTGGTTATATGTTCCCATAACACCCTATACTTCTTTCAGAATAATCAATTCTCTTGTAATTACTCAGCATCTGTGTCCTGTTTGACTACAAATTTGCTGAAGGTAGGGACTGTTTGTCTAGACTTTGCTTCCAGCTTTTAGTACAGTGTCTGGTACATAGTATGTTCTCAAATATTTTTTAGAATGAATGAGCTAAATAAGTCTTTCATTTTAGGGATTTATTGCTAACCACCCTGGGAAAATCAAATAAATAAATATGGGCAAGTATAAAATTAGTTTCTAGTCTCTGTTTCCCTCTCTGAGCTAAGAACCAACGTTAGACTGGAAGTCCCTACAAGCTGGTCCTCCTTCCAGGCTGGCCCCATCTTTACTCCACAGTTGTCTCCTTTCACAGTCTGAAGATATCACCAACATAGAGCCAGGAGTGAAACCTCCGGGGTAGCTGCCCACAGTTCCCTAAGCCTCTGCCCTGCCCATGTATCAGGAAATTTGGGCCATTTCCTTAGATATGAGTGTTCTCAAATTCTTTCCCTTCGTAGTCATATGGCTGATAGTTAAAGACGTGTTAACCTTTCAGTGAAATAACGCTTGTTTGTCTCAGTGACCTGATTGAAAAGCCTTTGCATTTCTGCTTCTCATTTCTCATCTGAAGTCAGCACACTGAATTCCCAGAACTTGAGCTCCACGAAGATGGGGTTTTTGTTTTGCACGCTGCAATACTTCCAGCGCCTAGAAGCATGTCTAGCACACATTTGTTCAGAGTGCACACTCATGCCCTTCGCACTCTGCTTAGAGGTGACAAACCGCGGCTAGGACAGCACTTGTCCACCCACTTCCCTTCTGAGAATTCAGCCCCTCAAATTTAGGATTCAGGGAGGTCAAAGTCTACAAAAAAAGAAAACTTTGTAGCACCACCCGGAAGTGAGGACATTCTGCAAAACACATCGCTTGTCTTGAGATAAGTTTTGTCTGGAGGGGAAAGGGCACTCCTCTAGACACAAACGGTGTTTTTGCCCTGTGTACTCTGTCCTGACTTCCTGGTCAACTAGGACACCAGACTTAGTAACACACAGGCGCGGCAGGGTGACGACAGCGGCAGGTTACCAGCTCCGCCAGGCGCCGCCTTTCGTCCACTTCCGCCCCTCCGCGCTCCTACGCAAGCGGAGAGTGCCGGCGTCTGTCTGGCCGGAAGGGGCCGGGCCGCCGGCATCCACACTTCCGGCACGCGGCGGGGCGGCCTTGCCGGGGGTTCTAACGCGAGGCGCGCGAGCGGACTGTCTGACGTCACGGAGGGCGGCGGGGAGGGGGTTGTGTTGGGCATGCGCAATAGGCTGACTTCTCCGACCCGGAGCCGAGCGGGCGGGGTTTCCAGTGCTGCGGTGGAATGCTGGGGGTTCGCCACTTTGCCGGCGGTGGGCAGGAATCTGGAAGGGGTTCCTGCGTCTGCCAACCTGCAGCGGAAGAAGAACGTACGTGTGTGAGAGAGGGACCTCAGCCTTATTTAACAAGTCACGATAATATGCTCAGGAGAGGGTGTGGGGACTGGGGTGACCCCATCTGCCGAGGGCCCGTGGGTGTCGGCCAGAAGCGGGAGGCGCTGCCGGCAGAAGTTAAGATACAGCCCTCCTGCAATTGTAACATTTCCTTTATTTACTTTTATGTCCCAGGGTAAGATGGTTATTAGTCCACATTCTAGTGTATATTAGTTTAATCAGATTGCTAGTCTTGCAACTGTGCTTGGCGGGGAGAGAAGGGGAAGTTGGCCGTGGAAAGAGTGTATTTGGAACCTGGAAGTCTGTCTCAGAAGGGCGGTTTTAGGTGGCGTGCTCTGAATTTTGCCAGAGACTGCCCTGCCTCTTTTCTGCTCCAAACTCCTTAAGTTTTGAATCAGAGAAAGTAAATTACAGCAGGTAAAATTAGAATAGAAGCCAGAGGATGTAAATCTAGCCGTAAGGCCGGAAAGACCATGAATTTGGGACTAAGGGAGACTAAGTCAACCACAGAAATCTGGTAGTGTTGGTGACCCTGTCTTGTCTGGGCTAGGTTAGCATTCCAAAGCAGGGGGAGGGTTGGAAGGACGTTTGGAAGATGTAAGACTTAGGGGAAAGCTATTGGCAGCTTTCTTGGTATGTCACTGGCTGGTGTTAGTAATTCCCTGCTACTGCTTTGTTTTTAGGCCCTTCCTCAATTGTCTGGAGCTCAGAGATGTGGCCCAGGGAGGGGACTGTAGCTAGTTAAGGAGGCCATGCTTGATGTTGCTTCCAGGTCCCATGTCAACACCAAGTCCTCAGCTGCTGGTGGCAGCTGCTCAGCAGACCTTGGGCATGGGAAAGAAACGGAGTCCACCGCGAGCTGCCTGCCTTCACCTAGCAGGAGAGGTGTTGGCTGTGGCCCGGGGATTGAAGCCAGCTCTGCTCTATGATTGCAACTGTGCAGGGGCATCAGAGCTCCAGAGCTATCTGGAGGAGCTGCTGGGCCTGGGCTTCCTGTCTCAGAGACTTCACATCCTTGAGATTGGAGAAAACAGCCTGATTGTCAGTCTTGAGCACGTATGTCAACACTTGGAGCAGGTGTTGCTTGGTACTATAGCCTTTGTGGATGTTTCCAGCTCCCAACCTCATCCTTCTATCTGCTTCCTGGACCAGCTTCAAGACTTGAAGGCCCGCGTGGCTGAGATTATCATGCATTTGCAGGGGCTGCAGAGGGACCCCTCCCTGGCCGTCTCCTCCAGCAGGCTCCATTCCTCAGATTGGAATCTCTGTACTGTGTTTGGGATCCTCCTGGGCTATCCCGTCTCCTATACCTTTCACCTGAACCAGGGAGATGACAACTGCTTAGCCCTGACCCCATTACGGGTGTTCACTGCCCGCATCTCATGGATGCTCGGTCAACCCCCAGTCTTGCTCTATTCCTTTAGTGTCCCAGAGAGCTTGTTCCCAGCCCTCAGGGACATTCTAAATACTTGGGAGAAGGACCTTAGAACTCGATGTGGGACTCAGAGTGACATTGCTGACCTCAGCATTTCCTCTGAGATAGTCACACTGCCGGCCGTGGCCCTCTGACTTTAACTCTTTTCCCATGTAGAAGTTACTGAAGAAATGATTAGCTTTAGGTCAGGGATGGTAAATAGGAGTCATCTCAAGTGGTAATTCTGAGCATCTTGAGAACATGAGGGAAGAATGCTGTAATCAGTTGGCCACATCTGCAGTGGGCATGGGAATACATGGCAGTGGCGGTAGCATTGGTAGGACATATTTGCCGTTTCTATACTATGGAGTCCTCTTAGCTGAGTTGTCTATTTTTCTCTGGATAGGAGATAGAAGGAAAGAGGTTGTGGAGAAGAAGGGTGGTGGAGGACAAGTAGCTCACCCTTGTATGGTAGTGTTTAAATATACCTGCTGGATGTGGGTAGTGTCTGCTAGAAAGTAGAAGGACTGGGCTTCACTGAGTGTTTGTAGTCCTCCAACTGAATTGGACTAGGGAGAGTAGACCAGGATGTTGAAGTGTCTTTTTTGTGATGTGATGTCATTCGGAAATAAACTGAGAGTTCTGAGGAAAAGAGACTGTCAGGTGAAGTTTGTTTATTTATTTTGCAGTAGGGTAAAAAAAAATAAAGTCAGAAATGTCAGTCGAGTTGGGAAGATCCACACTTTAAAGTACCCAAACCTTATGAGTTTTTTATTGAGTTTCTTGCTTCCGTTTTCACCCATGGCAGCTGTCACAATTATTTAGATCATGATGCTGTCCTTGTTGGCCAGGAACACTGCCAGTGCTATAGCAATCATCATCATCAGCATGGGGAGCCATTGGCTGCATTGCCTCTGTGAGGAGGGAGAGGGAGAAAAGAGAAAGAGGCCGTGGTTGGTTGGAGAAGATATAGGCAGAAACAATCTTCCTTCTTCCCATTCTAGCCCAATGGAAAACCTTGGGTTGGTGGAGGAGAAAAAGCTTTTTACATCACTGTCTCTGACTTTGTCACCTCCCTTGGGATAAAACCACTTTACCGGTGGTCACGGGCCCATAAGCTAGGATCACTGGCCCAGGGAAGGAGGGGGCCAGATACCTAAATACTGATTTGAATAATCAAGGCTGGAAAGTAACTCAGCAAAATTATATTATCCTCTGTTCATATTCCTCAGTACTTTTGCTCTCCTCTCTCTGTCCTTGCCACCATGCTCATAGTAGGCTAAAAGAACACCATTTTCTACTTTAACTGATAGTAAGTCTTTCCCTTCAGGCTCAAGAGTTCCATGAAAATTAGGCTTGGATGCATGAGCCAGTGTTTCTTTCCATGGTTGCTATACTGTCAGTATAGTATAAACCAAGCTGAATGGGACAGGCTGGCCGCATGTCGGCAAGGGCTGATAAAGTTTATCTGCAAGATTTGGCTAAAGGAGGAATTGCCCCATCATCACCCAGGGCTGTACAGGAGGAGAGACCCTCTTACTCTTCGAGGCTGCTGCTGGCTCTGGTTCAGTTCTTCTCGACAGTGCTGCAGCTTACGCAGGCAGGAGAGGTACTCGTCACTGAGGTTGTCTAACTCCGAATGCAGTTCTCTGCACTGCGGGGGAGAATACCACCAGGGTCATCACCACCAGTTCTGTCTGGGACAGAGCCCAGGGAGGGGAGAAGGCCCTGTGTCAGCTACCCCTTCATTCGTTTGGAATATTTCCCACCATCCTCCCCTCCCAGCCTTTCTTGGAGATTTCACTTTGCTTTTTGTATGTCTCACCTAGTTTGTCTGGAGTGTATTCATTTAAATGATTGCTTATAATGCACATTATAATGTATGTTATACATGTAAGTGCTTTGATGTGACAGTGTATGTGCAAGAGCTTTGTAAATGAGGACACAAAAAATGAAGTTCTTATAGCACAAAAGACCTGGAAGTGATCTTAGTCCAAGTCTTTCCCAGGAGCTAGTTGCATGCAGATACTTCTGGGCATAGGTATGTTTGTGAATATGTCGGTAGGAAGAGTCTTGTTATTTAAAAGGCACTATATAAAGTTTTAAGATACTCAGTGTAGGACAAAGTTTGGGGAGTTAATATGTTTATTGAATGTGTTTGAGTTTAGATTGACTTTCCAAAAGGTAGCTATTTAAAACCTTGAAATAGGGGTCCATATAAATAAGGAAGGGAAAAGATTGACAAGTTAACCCGAAAGCAGAGACATTTATATGGGCAAATGAATAAGTGCGGGCATCCAGTCGCAATTTAAATGTTGAAATCCCTGCTTTCTGGCTGCCTCCTGGCAGTTCCCCTGCCACTGTGGGATGAGCCCCTCACTATCTGAGGTCACCGTCTCACCTCCTTTTCCTTGGCCTGGAGCTGCAAAGTCTTCTTTTGCAGCTCGTCTCTGGAATCCCAGTCTTTCTCCTTCCCTGTACCCTCAGGCTCCGCTTCGTTACTGGAGGGTTTTGGACTCCACACAGGCAGAGCCTGATCTAAAAAAGCAGCCAGATTCTCAGTGATAGTGAGGCCCACACCTCTGAGGAAGGGCCCTGCCACTGAGAGAACCCCTAGGAATGAGGAAAAGGGAGGGGAGGGAACAAGAGAGGGCCTGTCCCTGGCTGGACTGCATGGAGAGGAATTCTCTGATCTTTAAAGAACTCCCCTGGGGACCCTGCTCAACCTGGACAGAGAGCTGGCATTCGAGCCCCTTTAGGGCAAGGTGGGCATCTTTTCTTTGTATCCCTAGTCCTCTCTAATGCCGGATACTTCTAGAGAACATTTATTAATCCAGTTTCTTTGGCTGTATGTCGTATCCTTTCTAGTTAGTCTGGTAGGTTTGCTAAATGCTTTGTTATAACCCTTTTTCCCTTCTGTCCTCATTTCAAAGTCTTGAGAATGGCAGTCATATCCTAGAATTCTTCTTTATATGGTTAAAGATGGTTTCTCAGCCACCTGGTAGTCTTAGCCTTGGTAAAGAGAGCACTGGACCAGGAGTCGGAAATTCTGAATTGTTGTCGTAGCTGTGTCCTTAGTTTGTATGACCATAGACCTTCATTTTCTTATCCATACTATGTGGGCATAATGATTTCTGCTTTATATTTTACCCAGTGATTGTGCTAAGAAAACAAAAGGCCATGTGTAGTGGATCAGTGAGGAGCGTTTGCCCCCTTCAGATGCGTGATAGATTCTTCTTAGGACCCTAAGGCAGCAGATACTTAAGGGTTAAGAGTGAGGTGAGTGTTGCATGCAACATGGTTTAGACTTGGGGAGTTGGATGTGATTTGGAAAGCCAAGTGTAAAAATTGACATGAAATACTGAGTTCAAAATCAATTTATTGAAATGTTCAACACAAACATGTTTTCAGAGGGAGTAGAAATCCTTTTCACAGTTTATATACCTCTCAGGATAGGAAGCTAACTAGTTCAAGTGTTCTCAGAGCCACTGATCAGTCCTTTAAAAGCTCCCCCAGGTCCCTAACCTAACACAGTTCCAGAACTGGATGGGACTCCGAGAGGTCATGTAGTGCATCCCCCTGCCTCTAGCCAGCAAGGAAAGAGCACTATCTTAGAATTTGTGGAAGTAAATTTGCTGACCTTTCTTTGTTAAGAGTTTCTCCTGTTCTTGAAGCTGTAAGGATTGATTCTGAAGCAGACCTGTAGGGAAACACAAGGACCTTGTCTGTGCTGGCGTATTTACTGCAAAGAGTGTCTTTTCAGAACTTTGCTTAGAACCTTAATTATTAAAGATGTTCCCATCTGTTATAGGTTGAATTGTGGCCCCCCAAATTCATGTTAAAGTCCTAACTCCCAGCACTTCAGATTGTGACCTTTTTTGGAGAGAGGTTCTTTACAGAGATAATCAAGGTAAAATAGGACATTAGGGTGGACCCTAGTCTAATATGACTGGCGTCCTTTTAAGAAGGGGAAATTCGGACACAGACATGCATAGATGGAAGATGTGAAGAGGCATCGGGAGAAGATGGCCATCTCGAGGCCCAGGAGAGAGGCCAGGAACAGATCCTTCTCACAGATCCTCAGAAGGAAGCAACCCTGCCAACACTTTGATTTTTGGACTTCTAGCCCTCAGAACTGTGAGAAAATAAATTTCTGTTTTTTAAGTCACCCAGTCTGTTGTACTTTGTTACGAATATACCATCCTTATGTCTCTTCCTACCATGTCTTTACCTTTGTCTCTTCTTAAATGTTACCTTAGAAGAAAGACTTTCCCAGATGACCTTGTATAAAATAGCAACTCTTTTCCCTTTAACCTGCTCTGTTTTTCTCCATAGCAGTTATTACTACCTAACACATATTTATTTGTTCATAGAAACTCCGTACTCCACTCTAGAGCTTACTTAGAATGTCAGCTTCATTAGGGAAGGAACCGTGTCAGTTCTGTTCATTATTGTATCCTCAGTGCCGGGTCTACAATGCCGGGCAGTTGGTAGGATCTCAATAAACATGTGTTGAGTAAATGAAGGCACGGTTGTGAAATGACTTCTCGCCCATTCAGCTTCTGCTCTGTAGGTTAAGGTGGTGGGCAACCATTAATTGAATCGGCTTCTCTAGCTTTTCAGAAATTGCCTACTCTTCTGAAAAGCCCCTTTTCCTCTTGGCCCTTATATGTAGTTTTCAAGTGAACTGAGGCATATGTAGTGTGGGCTTATTTTCTGAACCATTCCCAGTGACAAAGGTTTATGTGACATATTTATGTACATAATAAGTTAGAATATATAGAATAAGAACAGCCTTAGAAAACCCAGCACTTTGAAATCTGCAATTCTGGGGGACATGCAGGCGGTTGTCATTGGCATGGAAGGAGAAAAGTAGAAAAGAAAAAAAAGAACAGAGGCTAATCTGTAACTTGTGAAGAGCTATGTAAATGACCTCACTTCCAAGAGGATCTGAACGTGCTCAAAGGAAATGCCGAAGACTGGGCCCCCGATCTCTACTCTGGATGCCTTTTGTGAGGCAGGAACTCCAGGAACCCCAAAAAGCCACCTGTGCTCCTTTCCGAATCTCGAAAAGAAACTTACTCTGCAACTGCTGTACTTTGGTCACCAGGGCGAGTTTCTCCTCCTCTGACCTCTTTAGTTGATCTGAAAATGAAATAATGCAAACCAAAATGGAAGAACCGACCTCAGACTTAATGAACTGGACGCCTGAGATGGAAATCAGTCATAGGGGCTGTTTTGTGCATGCCATCTGATAGGTGTCAGTGGAAGTTGCTCTTCCTTCTACTTGTCCCCAGTGCCTTGGATTTCATCTGCCTCAACCATGTCGGGTTGAATTAAGGGTTGTATTTGCACACATTTTGGTCCTGACAGAGGCTGTGACTGGGAAACCTTCACTCTGCTTTGTGTTTCAACTGACCTTGCCTTTTTCAAGTTAGAAATGTGGCCTTGACACCTGTGACTGATGAGGGAGCAGCTGTGATCTGGCCCAAAGGGATGGGCTGGAAAAGAGAGCTGATCCTACAAGATCCTTGCATGCATTGAAATTAATTAATTTTCAGCCTTGGATGAGTAAAACAGCCCTGCCTTTCCCTCAAGGTAAAATGAAACCACAAAGCCAACCAAGCAAACAATGAAAGACTGAAGCCTTTCTCTCCACCCGGGTTTTTTCCTCTGGGCTCGCTCAGCCAGAGGCCTCCAGGGAGAGGGGTACCTTGTAGGTGTTGGGTGTCTGAGCTGCACAGGTCTCTGTCCCCCTGCAGGCATTCAATCTTGGCCTGCAGTTCCTGGTGCTCATTCTCCAAAAGTCGCAGAGCCTGGTTCATCTGTAAGTCTCTACTGTCTGCTCCCTGTGAGGAGGAGGAGCCGACACAAGCAGGTCAGTGCTGGGGTGGAGGTTGGGGCACTTCCCATGGAAGAGGAAAACTGTAGAAAATTGTAGAGCTTTAGAAATAGAAGGAGTATTAGAGAAATAGAAAAATAGGGAAACCTTTTTTTTTTTTTAATTCTTGCTCTACTTCTCACACTTATAACAAACAATGCTTTAGATTTTTGGTCGTCACAAGGACTCATTTGGGTAAATGCCCAGATTAAGGAACACCAAATCATCACTTGTCTAGATGTCTTCACTTTGTTTTTACTTTTCATTCTAATACTATCAGTTTTTTTTTTTGTTGGGTAAGGTCATTTTTCACAAAGAATTAAGATTAAAAAGAAAAAGACCATAACAGTTGCCTTGTAGGTGATGTGAGGAAGAGAACAGCAGAGGTTGAGATGTGGATGCGATGCAGTGGGCAGCTGGCTTCGTCCTTTGATAAGACTCACATACCCTCTCTCTTATCAAATGGGCTGTTCGGATCCCTGCTTCAGTAAAATTACAGACTTTTGAGGTGGGTTCTCAAAATTCCAAACCAAGTAAGTAAGCATTGTGCTAAGTGCTCTGCCCAGATTACCTCACTCATTCTTATAACAGTCCTATGATGTCGGCATTGTTATCCTCACTTTAGAAATGGGGAAACTGAGGCTTAGGAGGTTAGTTAACTTCTCCGAGGTAACAGAGATGGGAAATGATGGAACCCTTGAGAACGCCAGGGTCTACTGTCATTGCTTTAAAAATACGTCAGCAGGATGTGTTAGTTAATACTCAACCTATAAGTAAATTAGTGACATTTTTTATGTGCCAGTAGTGGGCACTTCTGAACTGGATGCTCTACTGGGCTGGGGTGCAGAGAGTGGGTTGGGGTAAGACAGGAGGCTGATGAATGTTCCAGCCTGGCCTTTTGCGTTTGGAGGGTGACCTTCAAGTGAACACTTAGTTCATTTGCATGAGCAGTGCAGATATCCTTGCTAAACTCAAAATAAGATTTCAGAGCCAAAACAGAATCTGGTACAAAGTGAGCAGTGAGTGAGGAACTGAAAGTCAGATGCTCTCAGCTGCCTTTGGGGCCCCAACTCAACAGTAGCTTCTCTCATCACTGCTGTCATTGCCCCCCTCCCATAACCCTGCCTCCTCTCCCTACTCTCTACCCCCAGGGCCTGGTACCTGCAGTTTGGACTGAAGGACATGGAGTTGGCTCTCCAGCTCTCTGTACTGGGTCCCCAGTGTCTTCCAGTCCTCCTTCAGAGCTTCGTATTGGCTCCTCCACTCTTCACACTTCTGCTCCGCCAGAGCCAGAGACCGCTGAGAGAGATCAGAGGAGAGGGTGGTGTCTTGGAGGTTCCATAAGAGTTGTGCAGCTGGCTCCTTTGTTGCCTAGAGCTGCCCAGGGGTTGCCAGCCCCAAGGATTCTGCAGCATCCCCCTACCTGCGTGCTCTGCAGTTGCTGCTCTGCACTCATTTTCTCCTCCAGCACTTTCTGCAGTGACTCCTTGGCCTTCTGCTCATAGCTGTTTTTCTGGTCTTCCATCTCCAGTAGCACCTTTTTCATTCCCCAAGGGGAGTATTTCTGTAAATGTGATGCAATTCAACAAATATACATTGAGCGTCTGTGTGTCAAAACCTGAGCTGGGATACAGAAATGAAAAGAATTTGGTCCTTGCCTCCAGGGCAGAGATAACAAGTAATCTGGTGGACCTTCTTCCAGGCTAGGGGTGGGCAGAGAGAGTCCTTCAGGTGATGTGAGAGGTGAGTGGGGATACTAAGCTGCCCTAGGAATGCTGGGCCTTCCGCAGGTACTTGAAATTCAGTATTTCCAATGGGAAATCGTCTTTCTAAGCCTGCTTCTTTCTCCTGGGCTTCCTCACTCTGACCAGCATCGTCACCCACCCAGTCTCCCAAGCCCTCAACCAGGCAGTCATCCTTGGCTTCTCTCTCACTTTCTCCCAGTAATCAGTTGGTCATCAAGCTTTTCAAGTCAACCTCCTTAATAGCTTGTACCTGTCTCCTCTCTGTCCCTACTGCCACTTCCTAGTTCAGACTAATAATACCATTATATGGATCAATGTGACAGTTTCCCTGTCTTCAAGCCTTACAGCTAGGGAGTTCTTTCTAAAGTGTAAATCTGATCACATCACTCCCTGCTTAAATCTCTCAGTGGAGTGGCTGGCCCTGTGGCTGAGAGGTTAAGTTCGTGCACTCCACTTTGGTGGCCCAGGGTTTTGCTGGTTCGAATCCTGGGTGCAGACCTAGCACCACTCATCAGGCCATGCTGAGGTGGCATCCCACATAGCACAACCAGAAGGCTCTACAACTAGAATATACAACTATGTACTTGGGGGCTTTGGGGAGAAGAAGAAGAAGAAAAAGACTGACAACAGATGTTAGTTCAGGGCCAATTGTAAAACAATAAATGAATAAGATTAAAAATAAATACAATAAAAATAATAAATCTGTCAGTGGATGCTCAGTGTCCTAAGGATCAGGTCCAAACTCGTTGGCACGGCTACTACGTATAAGCCCAGACTTTCATTCCATGCTGTCTCTACCCAGGCTGAACTGCTTGCATGTTTCCTAAGCTTTTTGGCCTCTGCTTCTTCTGCCTAGAGCATCTTTACTCACCCTTTTCACCTGGTTAAATTCTACTCATGCTCAAGATTCAGCTCAAGAATCATGTAAATTCTGATAAATCTTGACTAACCATCCCATCCCTCGACTCTTTATGGATTAAGTAGCTTTTCTTAGTGTTCACTTAGTATCTCCTGCATGTTTCCCTCTCTCCAATCTCTTGACTCATCTGTCTCCCTATGGGCTTGTAAACTCCTTCAGGACAGAGAGTATTTAAAAAAAAAAAAAATCTTTGTAGCCTCAGGGATCTGAGCAATCCCCCAGTAAACTAAATTAATGTTTTTAAATTAACACATTTTCATTTTTAGAATCCCTTCTGGCTTCAGGATCAAGAGAAACACACAAGAGCAGCTTTGCAAATTCACTAGGGATCTTGCCCTCCCCATGCCTTTCATCTTTATACCCTGTGATTTTGGAGAAGGCAGGAAGCTTTTACTGTCAATTCTAGATTACCCACTGGGTAAGCAGTAGTCTAGACAACACACATTTAAGGATCAATATGGAATAATCTCCAATTAGCTTTGGAATCATCTGAAAATTTGTATTTAAATGTGAGTGGGTCCTGTGTTCTTAGAACATTCATTAGAAACCAGATACAGGAGTTATTGGTTGAGGTCATACATTAGTATGTCCCGGTTATTGGACTTAACAATGCTGGTCACTGGCCAGCTTTATCCCTCATTAAAAATAAATAGACTGACATACTGGATTATATGTTGGTCTCTTATGAGCTTAGTTGGCGTTATTTAGTTCATAAGAGTCTGACAAAGCAGCTCATAGTGAAAATATGAAAGCTGAAAATATGAAAATAAAAGCCGTGGATCAGTAAACCAATAGGCTATGTAAATTCTGTTCCCCTGAAAGACCCCACCTGTGCCAGGTCCACTTTATCTCCCTAACTTCAAATGCCTCACCTCAGTCTCTTATTTGACAACTCACCGCCTGTCAGAAATCCATCCTCAAATGTGAAAGCTGATTTCTTTCTATCTCTTGCAGAGATCGTTACTAGATAAAAGTTACCCGTGGAATGAAAATCATTTTGCAAGGCTTCATTATAATATCCAACTCATCTGTTCAAAGATTGGACCTGTGAAGTTCTGTCTGGGTGGTATGAATTTTTACCAAGCTCCAGGTATCCTCAAGGTTCCCCTGGAGCTGGCAAAGTGCTTGGTGCCGGGGTTCCTTCCCAGGGTGCAAAGGGAAGGACACCAGGAAAAAGGGAGAGGAGGATGGAAATAGTGTTGTGGTGAATTGGGGACCAAAGTGAAAATGGCAAAACCAGAACTTGGTGAGTAGGAATGGGTGCATCAATCTGTCAGGTGGCATTTCTAGGGAGTAGGATTGAGGTTCAAGCATCCTTTAATCAATGATTTTGGGTTATTTTAATTATAAATTACTTTAATTCTAGATTTCTTGGCTGGAAGTGTCCTCCAGAATGCTTACCTGGGTACAGGTATACAGCTGGTTTTCTAAGGATCTCAGTTTGCCTTTCAATTTGTCTTCATTAAGCTGGCCCTGGAGCAAATGGGATGAGTTAATGAGTTTGGGTCAAAATATAGCATGCAAGGAGTTTTGTTCTGAATTCCCAGCCTATTGCCTAGAACATCGTCTGTGCTCAAACAATGTTTGTGGAACTGAACTCTTTCAGGAGGTAGGGAGGAGAAAGGTGACAAAAGATGTTTGGGTAGGAGAGGATCTTTTCCTCTTTCTCTGGAATAGGAGAAGGAAGAATCAGTCTGGCCCTCTATGTCCTCTCTGTACCTTGAGGTGCTCTATCAAATGGCTCAGGGTAGCACAGCAGGAGTCCATTTGAAGGAAAGCTTCTCAGCTCTCCTTTTCCTCCCTCATTACCTCTCTCCCCTGTCTGTCTAGGCACTTCTGTACTCCTCATCTCCTCTCAGTCTTGTGCATGGACCTTTACCTCTAAAGTATAGGCCAAGAAGACTAAAGGGGTCTCTTCTCCTGGGGGCATATACATTCCCTCTCTTACCCCTGTTATAGGCTGAATTGTGTTCTCCCAACCCCCCCCCCCCATTCATATATTGACATCCTAACCCCCAGTACCTCAGATAGGGTATTTAAAGAGGTAATTAAGTTAAAGTGAGGTCATTAGTGTGGGCCCTAAGCCAGTATGACTGGTTTCCTTATAAGAAGAGGAGATTAGGACATCAGGATACACAGAGAAAAGACCACGTAAAGACACACAGAGAAGATGGCCACCAAGGAGAGGCCTCAGAAGAAACCAACCCTGTCAACACCTTGATCTCAGACTTCTAGCCTCCAGAATTGTGAGAAAATAAATTTCTGTTGGTTAAGCCACCTGGTCTGTGGTATTTTCTTACAGCAGCCTTAGCAAGCTAATACACTCCCCTCCTCGCCAAACATACACACACACACACACACACACACACATAGGGCTCAAGACGAGAGATTCTTTAGAAAAGAAAGAGATGGAGAAGAGGTATTAAGGTAGTGTGTGGGTGGGGTAGGGGTGGGGGTAAGAGGACTTCGCAGAAAGCCATATTCTATTTATTCATAAATTGGGTCTGTCTAAAGGCATTTTGGACATTCCAAGAGGGATGCTAATGTCAAGGGTGAGGGTGGAGAAAGGCAGACAGGAAGGGTCATTATCTCTTTCTCAGTTTTTCAGTATTTCAGCTGAATAGGTAGCTAACCACTTCCTTGCTGCTTTGTTCATCCCTCCACCTGTAGACTTCCCCCTTTTTCTCAGGTAGGGGTTTTGATCTTCCAGCCCTGAGTTTGATCTAAGGATGTGTATCTGAGGGGGTAGGGGAGAGGGGAGGGTACCATGGATGGGAGCTGATTTCCCAGGAAAAGGCCGTAGATCTCTTTACTGGTAACTGGTATTCATATCCTTTTTCTGGCACCTTCTAACCAGGCCCTTTGGGACACTTATAAGGTCTGGAAATTACATTTCTGCTCAGGCCTGAGACGCCATGGCCCCGCTCAGTCAGGAGGCTTGGACGTTTCCAACCCTCATGAGGTTTCCGGTCTATAACGGCCTGGGGGCAGAGGAGGGGACTCAGTTTTGAGGTCTGTCTCCCTCCCTGAGTTTCAGGGCACCTGGGGGAGGCAGGAAGTGGTATCTCAAGGCTCTTGTTTTGATCTTGTTTGGCTGATTCTTCTCATCATGAGAGCCAGGGGGCGCCTCCACCCTTTCTGCTTCCTGTATTACTCAGCCAGGCCTTGCAAAAGCAAAAGGCTTTGCCAAAAATAATTTTTCCGAGTGCCTCCTGCTATTAATGTTTTCCATAATGTCTCGTGTGAGAGCTGAGACTCAGGGATTTGGCATCTACAGTAACCACAGGGCTTTGGGTCAGATAAAAGAGATGGACAAAGACTTCTACTGTTCTGGGCTTTACAGTAACCGGTCAAAGGGCTGCATTCCCCTGAGTGGGCTGTTTATTGTCAATCCACAGGTCCTGAAATCAACTCCCTCCGCAACCCCACCTCCTGGTTCAGATTTCTTTCCAACTCTGCGCATTTTTTCCTTTGCCTAAACTCTTACTATGCAGAGTGCAATCAAACCCACTGAGTTTAAGGTTTATCTTGCTGTAGTTTGGAAAGAAAACAGACAAGCCCAAGGCAGTATTCTTACATTTCCCCAGTCTCCTACCCTTTTTGGGTAGCTCCTGTCTCCTTCCTTAGTATGGTTTTAATCTAATATTTTGCGTCTTCCAACTGTTTTTGTATTTTAGCTGCACCCCAGATTACTTTTCCATTCATCTTGCAATCGAAGACAATTCAGGATGGCCCCTTCAGTGGGGTTGAAGGACCACCCAAGTCTGGGACTGGAAAATATCTCGTCCCTAGCTCTGCCTTCCCAGACTACCCAAGGCAGGCAGGAAAATTGCAGCCAAGTTGTTGCAAATGGGGCATGTAGTTTCCTGGTCTGAGCCCCAGCTCTCCCCACATGAGGCCACTGTACAGTATGGGGAAAGAAGCAGTTTTTACAGTCCTATTGTGGACTTTCTTGGGCAATCACACCCCGGGATCCCAGAGTTCAGAGAGCACAGTACCCTCCGTTGGAAAAGAGAGCAAAGGGGAGGCCATACACACCTGGTGCTGGTCTGAGGGCTTCGGCTCCTGCTTCTGCTTGGCTTTGCCCTGCCTCTGATCTGTTCTCCAGAAACACTACCACCTCACCACAAAAGCACCAGCCCACAGCTCCTCTCTGCTCTAGCAGAGGTTGCTTAGTGCTTGCAGCCAATCCCCCGCTGTGCTGTCATCTCAAGATCTCATTTCCACTTTGCAGAGCTTAAAACCCAAGTGTGCCCTGCTCCTGTCTTTGTATTACTTGATATCGAGAGCTCGAGTTCTCCGCTGCCTGAGTTGTTTCTGCTCTGAAGGTTGGATCCAGCTCAGGAGTCTCAGCAGCCCCAGGGCCTGCTGTATCCAGAAGGCCTAGAGTCAGTGTGGAGCTGGAGGCAATGGAGGGAGCTGATCCTTGGGGTTCTAGCAGAGTTTGCGGTGAGCTTCTCTGCATACGAAGTTAAAGATTCCAATCACAGAGGCGAAATGGAAAAAATAAAGGCCTGAACTGGGCTGAATGTCAGAGACCCAGTTCTGGCCACGTTCTTCCAATTACTTTTCCCAAACAACACAGACTGGGGCTGTGCTTCCATTGAAGTTGACGCATCCACGGGAGGGATAGAGGGTTGAACTGTCTTGTTTTGGGGGAAGCAAGATCTCTTAACTGAGAAATCTGAAACTATTTTTCTTAAAAACAGGAAGCTGGGGGTTGGTGGGGAGGAGGAAGAAAAGAAGGGTGAGTATTGGGAGGGGTGGGAAGAAGGGGGACAGAACCATGGTCAGAGGAACTTGTGCCGGAGTACAGAGGGAAACTGCCCCTCAGAGTCCACCGTGGAAATGGCTCTTAATACATCCTCCCTGTTCCCACCAAGCTTGCTCTGATTCAAACTCTGATAGTGTCTTACCTGGGATATTAGGAGTTTTCATCACCCCACCCCAACCCCTAGCAGGGGTGCTCATTCTTGTCAGAGAACCTTTTAAAACACAGATCTCATCACTCACTTTCAATTCAATTCCAGGCTATTGATTGAGCTTCTTCTGAGGATGTGCCAGACTGTAGGATTTTAACCCCAAATAAAGCATAGCTCTGTTGTTAGCCTGCTTACTGCCTGTAGCAGTGTTTCTCAAACTGGGGACAGCATGCGTTCTCATGGATCTGAGATACATACGTTTTTCATTTAAAAGAGAGTCCATACATTATTTAAGTTTGAGATACCCCGTTCAACAGAAAAAGTTTAAGCACCATAATTCAGAGACTTGTCTGAGGCCCTCCCTGATCTTATCTTTGGTACTTCTCTGACATGATCCCTTCATTTCAGCCACGCTCTGCTACACCCAATGCTTTGTTACACCTTGGCCTGTAATCATTTTGATTCCTTTACCTTAAACATTCTTTTCCTTTCTGCCTTTGTTCCCCCACCATCATTCCTATTTCTGTACTAGTAAACTCTTATTCATCCTTCAGGACCCAGCTAAAGCAGTCCCTGTCCTTTGGAGCCTACCCTACTCCAGCTCAGGCAGAATAATTGCTCCCTTCTCTTTTCCTTGCATCACTTTGTAGACACTGCTATTATACTTTCTCACACTGTATTGGAGTTAGTTATTACATGTCTCCCTCTTTCTGGCTGACATGTGGGCTCCTCAAGAGCAAGGGCCCTACTTCTTTTTGTCCCCGTAGCACAGGGCCCAGCACACAGTTGGAACTGATCAAATGTCTGTGGAATAACCAAGTGAGATGATCTCAGTTTAGTTCAGCACCGGAAAACACCTGGCATGCACAGCTCTCTTTCCCAGGCTCCTTGGCCAATGGAAATGACTTCCTTAACAATTAGGAGCCCAGAACATAGACACTTGAATCCAGGGCCAATGACTGACGTGAGGAGGGAGGGAAGTCTTTTTCACATCACTGCAAACTTCTCAGTTTTGCTCCACGCCCTTCTGTTCTCTCCCTCTGTCTAGTACAAGCCATCTATGTGGCAGGGTTAGATGCTCATGGAGGCCTGTGAAGTTGTGCGTTCTCTCTTGCACCTGGCGCTTTATGCTCTGGTGGCACCAAACTGCTTGTCGCTCCCTGGACTTACTAGTCTAGGGGTTTCATTGCGGAGTCCAAGAACCCCTGGGCATCCCTGAGACACCCTTTCAAGGGATCTGCAAGTTCTTCCTTTTTCCAACTACATATCTGTATGAGGCTACATTTTCCTCATATGCTTCAACCAAAACAATGTATTGGAGCATATTGAATGCAGAAGCAAATATAAGAATCTAGCCGTCAGGGCTGGCCTGGTGGCCGAGTGGTTAAGTTGGCGCGCTTCGCTTTGGCGGCCCGGGGTTTCGCTGGTTTGGATCCTGGGCGCAGACATGGCACTGCTCATGAGGTGTCCCACATAGCACAGCCAGAAGGACCTACAACTAGAATATACAGCTATGTACTGGGGGGATTTGGGGAGAAAAAAGCAGGAAAAAAAAAAAAAAGAATCTAGCTGTCTTCTGTTTAGCCAGACATTAACAAGATTTTCAAAAGTGTAAAACAATGCTACTCCCTCACTATTTTTTGAAAAATATACTTATTTTTCATAAAAATATGTAATTTAGGTTCACATGGAATGGACTGACTATGGTTATTTTAAAATGAACATGTATTTTAAGACGTTTAAATTTCTAATATGTAAATTCTGATATGGTAAATATAAAAAGTTCTTTGGGGTTTTCAATAACTTTTTTTGAGAGTATAAAGGGATCCCGAGATGAAAAAGTTGGAGACCCATTGTACCAGACTGTATCATGCCTCTGAGTCTTTGTGCTTGTCCCCTGCCCAGAACACAGTTACTGCTTCCACATTTGCCTGGCAAATACTTACATAACTATAAACATTTCCCTGGCTCTCTCCTTCCCTGGAGTCATTCATTCTTTCTGGTGTTCTACTATATCCTGAAAACATTTCTTTTATTTCTCATATCTTGGCATTGTTTAGGCATCTGTCTCTGTTACAATACCATAAACCCCCAAAAACCTGTCTAATTAATCTCATTATTTCCAGTGCTCAGTACAGAAATCATGATCTATGAATATTTGTTGAAGGAATGGACCAAAAACAGAAGGTCTGAATTTCAGTTCCAGTTCTGCCTCTAACTAGCAGTGTGACTTTGGGCAACTCACTGGACCTCTCTGACACTCAGTTTCCTCATTGGCAAAATGAGAGAATGAGACTAGGTGACCTCTAAGGACCCGAACCATTCAGACATTCACGTCTGGGCTGAGTAGTGGGTGCATGCTGGCTTGGAGTTAATATTGGTGTGAATCCCATACGAAAATAGTTGACGTTTACCACAGTCAGTAATATTAGCTGTATTGGGGTGTTCTTTGTTTCCTTCTAACAAATTAAAAATAGGAATTCTTCCCCCTTTTGGTTCTGGGTCTTCCCTGGGTATGTATAACATTGGGCCTCAGTTGATGACCCTAGATTTAGCAGAACCCTGCCATATATTTACTGTGTTTTACTGTTTGATTTCTAGGACTTAGCACCATTCCCCATCACCTGCCTCTTCCCACCTCACTCTTCAGTAGTGAGAAAACCTCTTCTTTTGCTAGAAGGATATGGAAAGAAGAATGAGATTGGCACACATAGAAGCCCATGAGCTTTGTTCAAAGATTGCATCCCCTTACCTTCCAAGAGCTATCAGAAGCCCGAATCAGGGTGGACAGTAGGTCTTGAAGAATCACCATTTTCTGTTTTAGAACCAGCTCCCTTTGTAGGGCCTCCTGGGGGGAAAAATGCAAGAGGGTAAGATTAACGTAGAAGAGGAGGGAGAAGATGGATGGAGGAGCCTAGGGGAGAGTTCACATGTTACTTACTTTGAGGTACTCGGAAAGCTGGATGATCTCCTAGAAAGAAAAAGGGCATTCAAGAAGACTCTAAGAGCAGGGGCCAGAGCCAGGGCTGGCTTGTGTTGAGTAAACCTTCTGCCTTGGCTCAGACAGAGTCCCTCCAGCCCCCCATGTCTGTGGTCAGTGCCCCCTTGCCATCTAGGAGAAAAGTGTTCCTCCATCCCAGCCTGAGTTTACCATGGAATTCCAGATGTCGGAGGAGGACATCTGGAGGAGCTTAGATACCATCTGATTCAACCTCTTCAAGGTGAGGATTTTCTTACCTTATCTAAAACTGCAACTCCATAACTGGGAAGAGAAGAAACAAACACAGAAAGCAATGGTTCAGAGAAACAAGCACGTCAGGAGGCAGTGGGTTGATTCCTTCTCTGATCTCTTCTGAAGAGCCAGAAGGGTGGGAAAGGTCTTTCTCTTTCTTAATTAAGGTAGACATTGAAATTCATTGTGTTCCCTCTCCAGATACTTGGTGAGGGTACTCAAGTAAAAGCTTAGAAGAGAGGAGTGGATGGGATGTGAGGGAGTCGGGGTGAGGAACATGAAAGGTACTCACTTGGTTTGTTGACTGGCATCATTCTTGATTGTTGGCTGTGTTTCTTCTGCCTTTGTCTGAGTGCCTGAGATGGAGGATGAGGTGACTCAGACCCCACTGGGAGGAGTGGCGGAAGTGGGGAGGGACAGGGACTCTCCCCTGCCAGGTAGCTGGGACTGCTGTGGCAGATTCTCTGTAGGCCCCAGTGAGGGAGGGGGGCTCTGCTCTTACCACGGTGGTATTTGGCTGGCTTCTTGACAGAAGAGTCCTGTGGTGGAAGGCCCCCAGCCTGAGAGGGGAGGTTGTCAGCCAGATCCCTCTGGACACCTGAGGGAGGATGATGCTGTGTTGGAAAGACCTCAGACCTGGTCCCCGTCACCTGGAAAGAAGTGGGAGATGTTGAAAGCCTAGAGCCTCTTAGAAAAAGATTCTCCAGCTGATTGCAGAAAGATGAACCAATGATCAAGTTTTAGGTCCAGAAAATCAAAGCAACCCATTCAAGCCTTCAACGCTACAAGGTTATCCATGCTCCTGCCCTCCCTTGTCCTGGCAGGTGGGAATGGCCCTCTTCAGGCCAGGCAAAGGGGGAGCTGGGCTTACCCCCAATTGCTCGCTCCAGAACCCCTGTTCTGCCTTGTTTGGTCTCGGCCACTTGCACAGCCAGCGTGGTGATATGGACAGAGAGCTGAGTCAGGAGTGAGGGGTCTGCCTTTTCTAGGTCTCAGTCTCCTGTCTGTGTAATGAGTTGGAGAAGACGATCACCAAGGTCCCTTCCATCTTCTAGAGAGGCCTTCCTTCCCCTTATTAACAGCTGGGCTATCGCTGAGCTTTGTGTGAAGAGAAGGTAAAGTAGGGAGTTGTAGGGAGGCGTGCGGTAGTAGTTGTCACAATTTAACCTGCTCTTTTTTATATTTTCTTCTTACTGACTCAACAATCCCATGCTTGTGACATAACACTTAAAGGCTAGGAAATATCCAATCATGTGGACTAACTCAGTCTCAATAGATAACTGATAGGCTCAGTTATCTATTCTTTAGTTAATTGTGTTTTCTGTTCTTTTTCTCCTTAAATTTTTCTTTCAACAAAAAGCATTCAGAAACCTTGCCTTAGAAAGCGCACAGTTGGTTTTATTTTACCAGTGGGCTCAAGGGTCATTTTTCTGAACAGCACCTCCTATTGTGGACAAAAATACACTAGTTAAGAAGCCCTGGCCGAGCAGCAACTCTGGGTAGGGTTCAATGCCAGGCACTTCCAGGGAATACAGCAGACCCATCCCTGCGGTCAACATGTGCACAACGTGGAACGGAAGACACAGATGGTTTGGCGGCTGAGGTCATTTCGACATGCCCTGATTTTTGCCAAGACTGCTCCTTCCCAGGCCAGACTAATGGGCCCTCTAAGAGTTACACAATCTTAGAGGATTTATAACCTCATAAGGACCACACAGGACAGAGGTGGCCTGAGAAGCCAGGGAAGGCTTCCTGGACCAGATGAGGGCCTTCGCTGAGTGAATTTAATAGCATTGGAACAGCCCAAGAGAAAAAGAGAAGGTGGCTTGGTGCAATAGCCTCACAGAAGAATAAAGGAGAGAAATGTGTGTGGGCACGTGTTTTGAGAGAGGGCATCAAGGGAATTGGCCTGCGTACCTGGCATCCAGTAAGCACTCAGTAAATATTTGTTAAATGATGGACAAATGAATGCTGTGGAAGATATGTATGGATTGCCTAAATTTGAACTGATACTAGGAATTAACTATGGAATTGTTTTTAACATTATTTTTTTCTCCTAAAAGGCAAGTACAAAACAAAAAATAGCTAAACAAACAAACAACACAACAACAGAAATCTCTGAATGAGTAAGTGGCTAAGAAAGACTTTAATATGGCTGAGGAAGAAGGGACTTCATTTAAGCCACTTTTTAGTGACTTTGAGCCCCCCATCCCCCCTGGTATCCCTCCACCACATACGCAGAGCAGTGTCCCTCGACATGGCCCACCTGCTGTCTGGAGGAAGAGATCCTCTTGGCCCAAGACAAAGGTTCCTTGAGGTCAGTTGCCTGGCCTGTCCTCCTGGAGGGACCGTGCTCCCTGGCCTGGGAGCTCCGTGCCTTGCTTTCCTCCTCCAGCTCCAGGTTCCTTCTTCTGAAGAACTGTTGTTGTCGAGCTCTCTGGAGCTGTTCTCTTTGCTGGGTCCTCAGCGCCTTCTCCACCTGGCGGCAAGTGGTCACGTTGGGGCGGCGGCGGCGGCCTTCACGGGTCTCCTGCCGGCGCTCACACTTGGCCTCGTAGCTCTCAGCCCGGCGGGCCAAGCCCGGGGAAGGCCTGGGGTCTGGGCTGATCATGATGACCTCTTGAACACCTGTTGTGCTTGGCGTCCAGTTCCTGGAATAGCTGCCTGGGTCTGCCAAACGCCAAGAGGGAGGCGAAGGGGAGGGGTCAGGAGACGGGCAGAAAAATGACGATCTCCATGGACAAGGGGGCAGAAATAGCACGGAGTCCCATATGTGTGGGTTGAAAACTGAGGAGGTGACAGCGTCAAACTGGGAGTCAGGACTCCTGGGTCCAGTCTCTATGCTAATTTCTGCTTTTCTCTAGCCTGTGTCTCCCCCTCTTTAAAGTAGAAAGGTCTTCCTGGCTGCCACTTCTTCCTTGACCAAACATCTTACTCTGCCTCTAAGTCAGAGGCAGAAGAGAAATAATTGATACAAATCATCATGAGCTTGTAACCTTTTGGATGGCAGAGATGTGTTCATTTTCCAGGGACTTCTAGAGAACAAGTTACTTGGCTGGCTGTTCCACAATCTAAAAGAAAAGCCAGCATCTTTACTGCTTTCGTGGTCCAGGTTGTTACTAAAATAGGTAAACAACTCTTCCTAAGGCCTGGAGGGATAACCAGACCACCCAAGGTGTGGCCAGCACTGTGACTAGATCTCACTCCTTTCTTCTTAGCCCCTAGCAACTGGCTTGTGAGCCTGGTCCTGGGCATGGTTCAGGAGAGAAATCCCATCCTAATTCCTCCGATCATAAAGTCCTGATGTTGGCCCATTGGCACCCCACTTCTGGCCTAGGACCGGGTTCTGACTCTTAGGTACAGATCGTCTCAAATCAGTATTGGCCAAGCACCTGCCACATGCCCAGTGCTGGCCAAAATCCATTTCAGAGCTTCCAGTTCAATAACTCTCCGAGCTGAGGGTTCCATTTTTTGGAATCACCTCCCTGTCAGGACTAAGTATGGTGCCAAGTCTGCTTTCCTTAGCCCAGACACAAAATGTGCATTGAAACCAGCAACCACGTGGATCATACCTCAATGAGGTTATTACAAACAAAAGTGAAACAAACAAACAAAAACCAAACAAAAACAGTAATGGAAAGTCCTCAGGGAACCAGGCTTGGTGTCAAGGCCACACTTGCTGCCCCTTTACATGGCCTTACCTGCTACTCACATAACCCCCAAACCCTAATCCCTTCTTCCTTCTCTGTGCCCTTCTTTCACTTTCCTACTCTCCCTTACCTACCTTCTGCAGATTTGTTTATTCTCCTACAACCCTCTGGTAGCTTGGCTGAGTCGGGGCTGGACTTGGCTGAGCTGGATCCTGAGCACCGGAAATTCTGTGCCCTTCTTCCACTGACCACTGGAGTCAGCCAGGTGACTCACGAAGGAAAAGGGACTCCCCGTAACAGCTGCCACTTGTCCTCTCTGTCCCACAACCTCACTACCCACCACCCTGGAAACCTAGTTCCTGGGGAGGTCAGAGAAGGGTATCTCAGCTTCACCAGCCAGCAGGCATTTGCCAGCTCTAGCCCCTTGGGTTTATTTAAGGCCAAACAGACTCAACAGGTACCAACCTATCTGCACCTTCATTGGAACTTCACTGGCCATCCTAGCTCAGTCTGGAATTCTCTGCAGGATTCTTACTCTCTCTCTGATGGTACCACCGATTCCCTGGGCTCATGGGTGGGGCAGTCTCACTCCCTGAGAGGGGTCTTACATGGTCAAGCCCTGCATGCTCTCAATTGCCTGACTCTTGAGGCTTCCAGGGGCGTACTTTGGTTTCGGGCAGTGCTGATCCCAAGCAGAACTGTGAGGTTGTCAATGCTTGTCCTCTCATCCCATCCCTGGGTGGTTCTCCCCTTTCTTTAGGCCTTTCTCCTCACTCCTACTCTGTAGGGGTCCCCTAACTTCCCACCTGTTACTTTCTTTTTTCTTTTTTTCTTACAAATTGGGAAACATTAAGTATGCGAAAAGTAGTATCAGCCATATAAAGCATATGCAAATCATTAAGAACAACACTTTGAACTGACATTTAACAAAAGATGCAAGGCAAACCATCAGCAAGTTCAACTATTTTAGAGTTCAACCTAAGGAGCCAGACCCGTGGTCAAATGGTTAAGTTTGAGTCCTCTGCTTCGGCTGCGCTGGGTTCACTGGTTTGGATCCTGGGCGTGGACCTAGAACTGCCCATCAAGTCATGCCATGGTGGCATCCCACACAGAAGAACTAGAATGACCAACAGCTAGGAAATACAACTATGTACTGGGGCTTTGGGGAGAAAAAAAAAAAAGGAAGATTGGCAATAGATGTCAGCTCAGGGCCAATCTTCTTCACCAAAAGAAAAAAAATGGTGGGGGGGAGCTTTTTCAAAAAGAAGAAAGTTTAACCTAAAATAAAATTAATCAAATTTAAATTACAACAGCAAAGGCATATTAATTACTCTCTCCAAAATTGGCAAAGATAATTAAAATTATCATATTCTATACTGATTAGGTTAGGATTAGTTAGATACTCAAAATTGTTGAAGTTGAGGTTTCATTTTGGTGTATCTTTTCTGGTAATAATTTGGCAGTTATTGCCAATTGTACATAAATCTCTGTACCTAAAAATCTCAGCAGACTCCTGGCATCCCTGGCGTTAAGATCTCTCAGCACCATAGTTAGGACTCCAGTGACTTCTAGCTCCACCGATGACATGTCCATGTTACGAGTCTGAGAAGTATTCTCTTAATCTGTCTGACTTATCTTACTTATCACAATACCACTGCCTTCTTTACTTAAAAACTTAGAAAAGGATCTGAGAGGCCCACCCACATTAAATTATAAATACTGGGTGGAGGGGACTCAGTATCACGTGCAGGTGAGCTCCATGTCCAGAATCTACCCTTGGGGCATCCAAGCCATAGCTCCTGGCTCTTCTGCCATAGATGGGGGAGGAGAGGGAGCCCTGGCTCTGGACTCAGACTGTGCGGATACATGTCCTGGCTCTGTTACCTACTACCTATGTGCTTTCAAACAACCTATTAAACATCTCTAAGCCTCAGTCTCCTCATCTCTAAAATGGGAAACTACCTCCCAAGGTTATGAGGATTAAAGAGAAAGTGCACATCCAGCATCTCGCACTTGGCATACAATAAATGTTAGCTTTCTGTAATAACATATGTAAGCCATGATTATTATTACCCCTGTCCTGCTGATCCTGGATATTGAAGACTCGGTGCTGTAAGATGAAGGCCCCAGGCTAACCTAGCACTTCCAGGACTGAGAACGCCGCATCCTCTAATTCCCCCACCCCCTTTCTCTTTGAAGGGGTACTGTTTACCACATGGAGGGGATGCTGGCCCTGGGTTGAAATCATATTTACTGTCCTGGTTCATCTGACCTCTGGGTGTGGGCTACAAGGAGAAAGGACTTCTCTGTGGTCTGGACACAACCACCGCCTCCATTAGTCCCAGCAGAAAGGCAAAGAGACGGGAGTGAAGAATTGGTGTCCAGCATGCCAGCATCCCACCACAGAAATGTGGGGCTCTAGGTCCCCACCCTGTTTGGCTCCAGGTAATCCTCAGGCTTTCTAGAGGAGGCAGATGCTTTGATTACGGAGAATCTTCCTGCCTTCCTGCCATGAAGAAGAAAGGCTTGTGGGGGAGGAGATGGCCCCTGATAGAAGTTCTCTCTGGGCTCTCTACCAGGCTGTCTATACCAGTCCACTGAAACACGGCTGCCCTGCTTTGCTTCCTGAGAGGCAGACGTTGGGACTTATTACCCAAGTAGGGAGTTGGAGTAGAAATGGCTCCTTAGGAAAGGGAGCCGTCTCAGACCCCCAGACCCTCACACCTGGTAGGATTTGATGTGGCACAGCTGAGCGGAATCACACCCAGCACTCCGGGATGTCTTGACTTTCTGATTTGCTTAAACACAAGAAGCCACGTGGGATGGCTGACTGATGGGGATGGGCTATAGAAGAAAAAGGAACTGGTCCCTGTGTGGTTCAAAGAAAGGTCACTGGGCCGCTGCCCAGGCTTTCTGGCATCTGTGGGGTGCCCCTTGGCAGCACGAGAGAGCCCAACTGGAGCTCTGGGGTGAGGTAGGACTGGCTGGGGGAAGCTCTCCTCACTGCCTCAGGGAGAGATCGGAGCACTACCCTTCACCCTGACAGTGGTTTTTGTCACCTCTCCAAGACTCTGTTCCTACTTTCTGGCTGTGTTTGCAATGAATGGCTTCCTGCACAGGTCTGGGCTTTGGGATCTCGAGCTCTCAGTGTGAGCTGAGGAGAGAAAGACTTGTACAGTTGCTGGAAAGGCAGCTTCATGTTATGGCGTCCCTGCTTTGAAGCGAACTATGAAAGGTCATTTAATTTATGACTTGGTCATCGGGTAGCCTGAACTCTAAGTCATTTGACTCACCTCTAATCTGATCTAAGGGATGGAGGAGAGAGCAATGGAGGCTGAGCCCCGCGCCTTGGCTAGTGTCCCTGGAAACCAAAGCAGAACGCTGTCTTGGTTACCGAACCCCAAACACTCTTAAACTACACCATTCACTCCTGTCTCCCTGTTCAGCCCAGGGAAGCTTGGATGACAGAGTCTTATGCCCCACCCCAGAGTCAGAGATTCCAAACCTGGACATAAAAGCAATCCTCCTCAGTTACCTCGGGTCCCAGGCTCCAACCCAAGCAGCTTAGGAAAGCATTCCAGCTCCTGGGCAGATCTTGGCTCTGGTCTCAGATGGGGCAAGACGGCAGCTGAGTAAAGTTCAAGCTCTCAATTCATGGCTCTGGGCCCCCCTAGCATTTCCCTTCTTGGTACCGTCTTTTTTTTCCGCAGCAGCCTTGCTGAAACAGGAAATAGACAAAGCCACAATGCTTGCTCACCCTAGTTCCTCTCTCTTGCTCTCTGACATGGTCTGAGTGGGCCCCTGCACCCTTGAGGCCTCCAGGGCTGGGCTCAGGAGCTCCTCCCATCAGTGGGCACCCCAGCCACCCTTCCTCTTGTTATTGGATTGGTCTGAGCTTGTGAACAGTTTCAAGTCAAGATTCCTTTCCAGGAGTGGACAAGGATGGGCCTTGCAGTTTCTATGAGGGGAAAAATGCCTTTTTGACCTTGAAGAGTTGTTCCCTGTATAGATTTTCATCTGTGTCAGGTAGCTCTCTGTGTAAGAATTTTCTTTCCTTTAGTTACTTCTTCCCAATTCTGGTACTGTGAAGACTTTCTACTCTTCTAAGGTACCTGGTGTCTTTTTCAGAATTCTGGAGTGAGGCCAGCTCTGAATTTGCTCCTTTCTGAAGCAATGAGGGTGTGTGGTGGTGGTGGTGGTGTGAAAAGGTGGCCGGGGAACGAAGGGAGCAACAGCAGGCAGAATGTTATAAGAAAAAGTTTCCTAGTCAATTGGACTAGGAAATTTGGGGAAAAACTAAAAGGAACTGATCTGTGTGCATTAAAAGGAAACCATTACAAATGATGTTGTCAGGAAATTCCCAAGAAGTTTGGAATAAGATAGTGCAGAGAGAATTGGACTGGGGCAAGTTAACTGAGTAGCTTTGTAACCTTGTATGATTCATTTTGTCTGCATGGTGCACCGAATATGGGGGTTAGATGATTTATATGGCTCCCATGAATTCTAAGACTTGACATACGTGAGGCTCGTAACGAGACTTTTAAATAGCTGTGGTAGGATAACATTTACTAACACGTGGGAATATGTCACAATCTTCTTCATTGCTTGCTACTTCCCCCATTCTCTGAGGAGAAGAGGACAAGGAGCAGGCAGGGAAAAGCACAGAGGACGGATTCTCAAGCACTAGAGAGCACCTCGTCTGCACGGTGCACTGAATATGGTGGTTAGATGATTTATATGGCAAATGACATTCGCTGAGGAGGAAAGACAGTAGCCCGAGGTCCTCTCTCTGGAACTTGACATGTGGAGATGGGAATGAGTAGAAGACAGAGGGGTTGGGGAGCCCAAGACGGAGAATAAGAGCATTTTATTGGCTTTAGAAGACTAGGGAGAGGGTCCTGGAGTTTAGGGCACCAGAGCATAGGAGAGGACAGGAGATTATAACAGGAGTAACTGTGGACCAACTATTTGGACTCGATTAAAAATTAAAAAAAAAATGTGTACAAAGATCAAAATCCCTTTTGGGGCTATGCATTCAGTGGGATACCACAACCACTTTAACTGGGGTTTGGCGAGGTTAACAATGTGCTGAAGACAACACAGCAAGTGGGGCTGGCCCAGTGGTGTGGTGGTTAAGTTCATGTACTCTGCTTCAGTGGCCTGGGGTTCACTGGTTCACATCCCGGGTGCTTGTCAAGCCATACTGTGGCAGGCATCCCACATATGAAGTGGAGGAAGGTGGGCACAGATTTTAGCTCAGGGCCAATCTTCCTCAGCAAAAAGAGGAGGATTGGCAGCAAATAGTAGCTCAGGGCTAATCTTCCTCAAAAAAAGAAAAAAAAGATAACAGCAAGTGTTGGACCCAAGTTTGCTTGACATCAGAACCTGAGCTCTTAACACTATGTTCTGAGAACAATACAATTAATAAGGTTGTCATACTCATCTCTCTATATGAGAAAAAGACACACACACACACACACACACACACAGAAAACTAAAAATAGAGACTATACCTTATTTTCAAATGCCCATGAAACATCAAAAAAATTGACTGTATTGATCATAAAGCAAACTCCAGCACATTAAAAAAAAGTTGATCTGTTACAGTAGAATTCTCTAACCATAGTACAATAAAGTTATAAATAAATAACAAAAGTGGGAAGGAAACACTTAGACCTCTTGGAAAAAACATCCTCCTAGTTTACTCTTGAAATACAGAGGAAACCAAATCTACAATTAAGAACGCCTTGAAAACAATGCTAATGAGAATATTATGAACAAAATCTATGAGGTATGGCCAAGGCATGACCCAAGGAAAATTCATAGTCTTAAATATTTTCATTACTTAAATAAGGAAAATTAAAAATAAATTAGCTATTTATTTATTTTCAAATAAATTTCTAAAACATGGTCAGAAAAATCAAGGAAAGAGAGAGCAAAAAGAAAGTAAAAAGAAACAACAATATAATAAGTTAGAATTCAGAGCAGAATTGATAGATAAATTCAATTATCTATTGAATAACCAGAAGCTGGTTCTTGTGTCCATATGTGGGGAAAGATAGAAATATCAATAGAAAACAAAATCAGTAAAATAAGCTGCCAGCTAGCCAAATCAATTTAAAACAGAGAAAGCACATCTGTAAACATTTATGAACGGTACGTGGAAGTAACCATCACACAGTGGACAGGAAAATAATTTTACAGTCATTTGTGTAACTATGCTAACATTTTGAAAATCTGAATAAAGTGGATTTAAGAAAACTTCGATTTACCAAATTAGACTCAAGTAGAGATACACAGTCTAATCATCAGCCTGCCTCTATCTGAGGGTCCCATTCCTTTAGTATAGGCTAGTACAGAGGATTTAGATTAGCCCCTCTTGAGCTGGTCACGTGGCATTTACTGGCCAGCACTCTGTGGTTCTCACCATTTCCAGGCCCGCTGGGACCTTGGCTCACTTTGTTGATGGTCACCTCGTGGAACATCAGGACATGGTCTCCTTGACAGATTCTGGGTCCTCTATGGGCTCCCGTGAGAAGTAAACACAGGATAAGCATCACTTTACTTTATAGCCCTGTTGCTTTACTCTTCACAAAATCACACAACTGTGTATGGGATTATCAGATGTTATTGTAGGGTTGGGTTAACTGAAGGGAATTCCAATTACAAAAGGAAAATATTTAAACTGTATGCTACTATCACTTAATATTCCATACTTCAAGAGAGAGCACTAAGAAGTTAAACCCTTTATGGGGATCCCCACATGGGTGCTACTAGTTCTAATCGTGTTCCCCCTCCCACCCTATTGGATGACTCCCCTATTCATCTTTTGGGAAATGGCAACATTGTCCATAAGAGTTGTTCTTGCCTTTGGGGTTGGCCCCATGGTATGGTGGTTAAGTTTGGCGTGCTCTGCTTCTGTGGCCCGGGGTTCGCGGGTTCAGATCCTGGGCACGGACCTACACTGCTCACCAGCCATTCTGTAGTGGTGACCTACATATAAGGTGGAGGAGGATTGGCACAGATGTTAGCGCTGGGCTAATCTTCCCCAGAAAAAAACGAAAAAGAGTCGTTCTTCTCTTAGAATCCCCCACTACACTCCCTCCAACATTTTCTCAGCACTGCATTCCTTGAGTCTAAGTTACTCATTTTAGAACAACGCCACAGACACTGTCAACAGGATAGTCCGTGGTGGCCTTGTCACCCCAAGTTTTGCAGAAAGTGGCAGGAGCGGGTGGTGAGGGGAACATGGAACTCCAAGTCCTGCAGAGTGGCTCAGGGGGGCACACTGAAGTCTGCTCTTGTGCAAGTTCTCCCCAACCAGTGACTTGCAGACTCTTCTTTTTAGTCTTCCGAGTGTCTCCCTGGCAACTGTTTGATAAGATGTCCACACAAACATCCCAAGGACAAATATTCCTTCTTAGAGGTGACACAGTCTAAAGTCATCAGGAAGAAGATAACTATTTCCCTAACTCCTACATTTGCAAGGTTGCCTCGCTACAGTGGAGTTACGACTGTACATTTGGGGCAGGACAGAGTTCTGAGACCTTTTCTTCTCTTTGGTCGCTTTGTGTCATCATTGTTGATAGAGGGCTTTTTACTGTAATGAAACCTCAAAGTTACTCTGTAAGAGATGATCAGTATTAGCAAGAGATTTGTCTGTTGTGTAGATGCTAAGAATCTGAAAGGCCTAACCCTAAGGCACAGCTAACAGTGGATCCATTCTTGAGGGTCCCAGCATTGAGAAAGACAAATTACTTTTCATCTTAGTCTCCTGAGAAGGATGGTCTTACCAGTTTTGACCTTGAAGGGTCTTGACAGCATGAAACTTCAGGCCTGAGGAGGGGCGGGGGAGGGGTGTGTGTGTGTGTGTGTGTGTGTGTGTGTGTGTGTGTATGTGTTATAGAACTGACAGACGGGAAAGAGTAAGGTAGACCAGAAAAAGGAGGGCTTCCCAGGCACCTGTCTCCATTTGGACCAAAAGGAAAAATCCTCAGAGCGACTTGGTTCTTCTCCTTTCATCTTCATTTCAGATTGTGTCCCCTTGGGCCTGCCAGAATATGAAATAAGACTTACTTCTCAGTCAGATATCATACTGACGTGTCCCCTAGGTATGCAATACCGCTGTCTAAACTTTAAAAATTCCTGGTTTTTAAGGATCAATTAAAGCACCATCCTCCTCACTCCAGTGTGTGTGTGAGTTGTCCAATAAGAGAACTCTGAGAACTCTCAGTTATCACTAAAAACTACGTTATTTATTTAAAAAAGCATACTTCTGTAAATTACCCAGCTACCAAAAATCGTTTCACAAAAAATTAAAAATATGAAGCTTCCATTACACTAAAATATGCTTTCACTTACTTGATTTCTTTATTGTTTTTCCCTGACAGCCTAGACAGTCAGAACCATTACCTTTGTCTTAAGCCCGGAATTCTGATAGCCCCAAGGATAGCGACTGTACTTGCTGACGCTCTAATCCCGCAACGCTTGCTCTCTAGAAAAATTAGCTTATTTAGTAGTGTTATCCTCTTTCTGAAACTGCCAATTTTCCTTCTTGGTTAAACTGTCGTTTTTGCTACAGCCTCTGTTAAACTATCCTAATTATTTAACAGGTGGCCTCACATTGCAAACTGAAATATCCTCCAGAGCCTTTTCAATACATTTTACACATTTCTACGCTTACCCTTCCGCTCTGTTCTATGCTCAGCGCAATCTGTGATCCGTAACAGAGGATATTTAACTCGATGCAGCAAAATTGAACCCGA